AGACGAATTTTTTATTTTAATTTTCGGATCCTATTCCGCAACCGATTATTTCCAATTATCAATTATTAAACGCATGTTACCTAAATAAATTATTCAATTCACATAGGTTTATATCACTGTTTATATATATCTATCAATTTTTCATGAGATTGGTAGTTCATTTGTTATGTTTGATACATATTCATATGAAAATATGGAAATAAAATTGGATGAGTCTGATTATTCTTCCTTCATAAATCTTAATTGGCAAAACGTTCCATTTTTGAAACTCAAATATTCTTGTAATAATATGCTAGTTATTCGGTTTGTTTTTTGTGCTCAAGGGCATTCCTTTCCACCTAGCTGAATGAATGGAAGTTACACATATTCGGTTCATACCCAACCTTTTTACGTGAATGTAATGAACAAATAAGAGAACAACGTTGATCCAAGCACAGGTATAGGTACATGTCATCAAATCCAATGAACTCAATATTGAGTTCATTGATCAAATCAAATGGTGGTGAGTTTGTTTTTTGTTTGGAGAAACACTTCATTTTCTATTACTATATAGCACAGCAATCATGAATCTAATATATTCAAGAAAAAAATTTTAACCGGGAAAAACCGGGATTTTTTGGTTGGTCAGCTGGGAAATTTCATTCTGGGCGTCCGGCAACACTGTGTCCGAGTGAACGCATTTCTGAGGCTGATATTTCAGTGACGCCTTGCTGAATTTTAATTATAAAAAATATTCAAATTTGACACAAAAAAATACGAAATTCACATTTTTCAGTAATCTGCATCTTCTTTATGAAATGAATGAGTTTCGACTTCATATAATTACTATCCCTAGTCCCAACCTTCTTCTATACGATGATTCAATCAGTTTCTCAATTGAATTTTTCATAAGCCCAGGAAGCAGCTGACCGTACAGGCCTGCATAACGATTTGACCATAGATCTAAATGATTTGACTGAAACTTCACTCTTAATTTCGAACAAAATTTTAGTGAAAACACATAAAACGTAACTGTTTTTTATTTTCAAAGGATTAAACTGTGTACTTTCTTATTTCTGTAGACCAACCAGAGCGATATATGGGCTATGACGATACATTCAAATCACTGATATTGGCGGTAAATTCTAATATAACGAACATGTTCACATTATAGAAATCAATGTATTTGTGTCATGGTATCTCTATAATATAAGGAAGGAAAATATCCTTTCTGTATAAAGAAAGTGGACCACTCTTTCTAAACAATCTAACCTAACTCGACCTAATATACAGATAATACATCGCAGATAATACAACTTTTAATGATAATTTATTTCGAAAATTTGCCTTGAGTTTTGCTTTAAAAACTATGAAAAATGGACCACATGGTCGGGGTCACGTGACTTTCACTACATGCCGAAAGTTTTTTTCGAATTAATTGCTGAAAATAGGCTTATTTGTTGGAATTTAAGAAAAGTACAAAAAAGTTGTTTCTATTCCAATTTTACATATGTCTCGAATTTGAACGTTCAATTACAACTTTTAGTAACTAATATTGTTTCAATTGCTAGGAAATGGCTAATATTAAAAATACTCACACCGGCGAAACTATTTTATTCTAGTAGCTCTATCATATGCCACTTACTTTCAATTACTAATTATCGACAAAAATATCATTTTCTTCAGAAAATAATAATACCCGCTTGAGATAGCTGTCATATTTAATGCAAAATTTATGTGTATCGAGCAACCAGTTAAAATATTTCTCATACCCCATAACAATACATCATGTAAATGTTGGCTAAGCTATAGAGACTTGGCAATACTGTGCTAAACGCTGAGAACTGATAAGACAGCGCCCATAATCCTGTGTTGTCACGTTTACCGGACGAAATCTCCTCTAGTGTGATGCAATCAGACACAACATATAGGAGAAAAAATTACAAGACAATGGATTTTTTATAACCAAATTAAGAAAATTACCAATAGAGAATTGATGAATTATTATGCAACTGTGCTATGGTCTGCCCCTACTTACGAAATCGTCACATCCTAAGGTCAGTTTTTATTCTTGGTAAATTTCAGGCCGTTTGGAAATGATCACCGTGGACCTATTGATGATTTTAGCACCTCAAAATCAACCGAAAACATCTGGGCAATTATGCTTTGGCATCATTGGCCAATTTGAATTGGTTAACTACCATCATTCACCAATAATATCAAACGTTTCATCACTAGCATCACAGATTAAAATCACTAATATCAAATTTAGCTTTCAATGAAGTCAATACAGTCCATAATTATGGGACTAGACAATTGAATTACTTGATAGCAAATACATTCAAGTCAAACATTGGCAAACAATCTGTTTTTCACAATGGAATAATTTTATACAATTCATTACCGAATGAGTTGAAAAATACATGATGCAAGAAGGTTTAAAATCAATCTTAAAAAATACTTGCTCAGGACAATTTGAATGAAAAATATGTGGCATGATTTGATTACTTAGGAATGAAATATAACTTTAATCTTATAAGACACAATATTAATTCGTTTCCACTGAGTGGAATTCATTATAGTTAACCCTTTATTATTTTTTTATATGTATTTATGTATCCCTATCATAAACAGAAATGTTTCTTGGGGTAATAAAGACAATCAATCAATACATGGCAAACTTTTTTACCTACCCACTTTTTAATCTTGACACTTCAACATTTTTGCCGCTGGCAATTATCATCAAATTTCTTATATCCATGAATCATTGTCTTTATAAGCGAGGTCAAAAATATACTCCATCTCACCACACGCTTTATTCTTAACTGGAATGTACTATGACTAGCACATATTATAATGACAATGATCCAGCATTTACCATTATAGGGTTGGAACAACTGATTTCTGACCGAACCAGAAGTAATGTTTGTTCTATCAAAACTTTTATGATTTTTTCTGTTCTACACAGTGGCTAATGTTGATATGTGGTAGCTATTTTATTGTTGTTACTATGGCGCAGTCAGCAAATTTTTTGAATGGATCACCCTGTATGTAAATATTTTTTTGGACAGCTGTTCTTTCAACTTACATTAATATGATGTTTGGCGTGTCATTCACTGGTAGTTGTGGAAATATAAGATGGACGAACCTTCTCAAGATATATTTACATTTTCTTCGAAACTGCTCGAGGGGATTTTTTGAGGTTAGGTTATTGTCAAGCAGCTGAAGGTCTACAGTTTGAACACCTTTTATAGTTTTGTGACAAGTAAAAGAAAAAATGTCAAATACCACACATTTTTTATTAATTTATATTTTATTATACATTTCCACAACAACCAATCACAGAAACGCCAAACTTTGTATCAATGTAGGTAAGTTGAAATAGCAGTCCGAAAAAATATTTACATACAGGGTGATCCATTTAAGAAAACTGCTGACTGCGCTATATTTACAATATGATAGCTACCAAAAATCAACATTGCCCACTGTGTAGAATAGAAAAAAATATGAGTCTTCCAAGAAAAAAAAAACAACTTCTGGTTTAGTCAGGAATTAGGTGTTACCGAACATATGCAGAACCCTGTATATCTTACTCTTACTCGTGATTTTGAACAATAAGTGACGTAAGTCAGGTTGTTGGGAAATGGGTTGCGTGCAAGAACTGTCAGATGACCGACACTGGAGGCAAAATATTGAAACACAACGTCACTTTACTTATTTGTTTACAAGTGATTGAAATAGTTTTTCACAATTATTTTGGCATACGAATCGTATTTTTCCGCTATTCATCAATTCGCTCATGCCATCACATTATGCTGTTGTGAAATGCACAAAAACTGCAGCGAAAGACGAAGTAATCCAGTTGGTACAATATGATTTAAAAGTAAGTACCTACTATAGTCATTCACATATAGTTTTCATTTTTGAAATTTGGTAATTTCTCTGATTTCTCATCGGAATTCTTTCTGCGATAGAAGCTAATAGAAATAATGCCAGAAAATTGGATTCATGCAATCAATCGGGAGGACTGGTCTGACATGCTGACGATCGTGTGTGTTGTAGACATTTTCAATCTATTAGCAGTATTAGCTTGTATTGCAGGAGTGGCAGAAGGCAGAAGGAATTTTAATAAGGAATGACAACATTTCATAATGATAACTATGTGAGATTACTATTTACCTGAAAAATCATATTCCTTAGTCTCTTGCTGCATTTTTTGTGCATTGTACAACAGCACAATGCGAAGGCATGCTTGAATTGATGAATAGCGCAAAAAACACGATTCGTATGCCAAAATATTGTGAAATACTATTTCAATCCTTTGATTCCTCTGTAACCAAGTGAAAAAGTGAGGTTGTGTATCAATAATTCACAGAAGATTGAGGTTGTGTTTCAATATTTTGCTTCCAGGGTCGGTCATCGTGCACGCGACCTATTACATTAGCGATCAATATAGCAGTTTAGGTCAGTGCAGGCTTCGCTTTTAGTCAATTACTCCTGACAGGAGTAATATCTAAATTTCCATAGGAATGCTTCTTTGTTCCAATCTGATTTGTAACCTGTTTGAAATGATTTGAAAGGTATGAAAAACCCACAACAGGACTTGACACAAGCAGTTTTTATGTCCTTAAAATATATGGTTATTAAATAGAAATAATTCTGAATCATATTTATTTGTTTTGAGTTTAGAAATCTGCAAGGCAGAAATGACGGGAATAAATAATTGAACGATTCTGACTTCATATTTTAATGAAATCACATCCATCTTGAGATAACAAATTAGTCAAACACAGACTGCTGTAGTTTTTCAAACACATATCCTTCGAACACTCATTGAACTATTTCTTCTAGTGACACCTACAGTGTTTTATCAACTATCTTTTTCATTCTTTTCAGAACTCAAAAGAAAAAATACAATATAATTATTGACGAATTCCTATATGTTAAAATACTTTTTAGATAGTAAAATTAGCAAACTATCTAAAACTGTTAACATCATCCATTTATGGCTGATGTACTATCTATGTACCTTCTGTCTTCACCATTTTTCCAGTGTCATCTAGAAAAAAATGGAACAGAATGAAATGCTTTTCAATCAGATAATATGCATGAAAGGTGTTTGAATTACAATATCTCATGTACTAACACAATGTAAGCTCTAATATTATAGTTAGTTTTGTATTCAGTGCGCGAAATGAGAAAAATAGTCAGATCATCAAAGTGGTTTAGCGAGTAATTATACCATATATGCAGACGATACAGTGATTTTATATGAAAACAAAAATCCTCTAATTTTAGAAACTGTGATAAATAACGATCTGAAATTATTTTAAAAATGGCTCCACTCTAACCTTTTAACAAAAAATAAAGAGAAAATTCAGCTCGATCTTCGAATAAAGAATGAATTCTTGAAAAAAACTGAACAGATAAAGTATTTAGGTATTTGGTTTGATGAAAAATTGAAGTGGGACAAACATATTGAGGTTCTGACAAAGAAAATATCTCCTATTATTGGTGTATTGAGAAGATGTCCCAAAGTCAATATGAAAATATGTCACTTTGCATATTGTTATCAATGCGCGAACCCTGTCTTGTTTTGACGTTTGTAGAAAAAAAAAATGTTATTCAACTAGATAGACAGGATTATGGCAAAATATCTTACTTCCAGTTCCTTCTTGTACACTTCCTGATAGTCGACGTTTCCTTCCAAATCTATCCTTTCTGAATGCTTTTTGTGGACTAGGTAATGGATCCATGCCCAGTACCTGCAAAATTTAAACATCACTTACTGATTTTTTTCAGTATGATAAAATTGAGACAACTCAGGGGGATTTGACTCTGAACTCAAGACCAGTATAAATAGTGGGTGGGATATAGTGACAACATCATAGCTAGTTATACAGGGTGTCCGGAGATAAAACCGACAAAACTCGTGAGGTTATAGGGACTGTCAATATGATTGCAAAATGCCATAAACTAATGTCCAAAACGGCTTCGTTACTGAGATACAGAGTGATTTTTGGATTTTGACAAAAAATTCAATCCGCCATATAAAATACAGGGATTAGCCGATTGGATTCAAATTTGGTACACGAATTACACTGAAAAGCATCAACAAGTAGCCCTTTGATCGAAACCAATATCAGCACCGGAATAATATTTTTGCCCTATGTTGAGTTATTGTTAGGATAACTCACCCTGTATCATAATAACCAAAAATTTCAACTCAGATTCGCAATTTACGGTGAAAATTGTATAGGAATTTGTTTGAAAATCTCCTGGCACCATCTTAGTTACTCCGTGATTAATTATCATTTTGATTTTTTTCATCGAAAAATCAATCATTGTCAAATAAAGTACGTATATTTACGAAACCATGACATGAATGTCGTTATTTTCTTCGATCAGTTCATGAATCGGAGTAAAATGAAATATTCTCATAACCCGAAAAAACTGAAGAATAAATTCGTGTCAGGACTGGAATGAGTGTTTTGTTTGGTCATGTTAGCTGACCTAGTACATCAATAGTTATCAATAATCTGATCGTAGATTCGGAATCTAAAAAAATCGTATAAGAACCTGTCAAAGAAGGATAACAGATAACAGTGAAGTTTTTGTAAATTATATCCGCTCACTAATGAATTTGAATTTATGAGAATAATACACAACGAACAATAACTGTTTGTAATGAACATAACAAAAGCAACGAATTCGTGAAAAACTTTTACTAACCAGTATTACAAAACATTTTCGAAGTGGAGCCCTCCAACATCAATACATTTTTGAGAGCGTTCTATTAGATGATTCACCGACTTGCGAATTATTTGAGGGTTATTTCTAACACTAATACATGCAGCAGTAATTTACCATGAAAAATTTCTTCATAATGAACTTCTTACTTTAAATGACCTCATAAAAAATAATCTAGCTGAGTTATATCAGGGGATAGCGGTGGCCATTTACTGAACCTCCACGGCCAACCCATCTATTGGGGTAATTGGCATCGAGATGGTTTCTAACTGGAGCTGAAAAGTGAGGTCTAGCACCATCATGCTGAAACCATATACCTCAGGTATTTACACCTTGCAATAGATCCGGTCAAGTATTGACCAGGAAATTTAGGTAAACATCACCAGTTAATGCCCAAACACAAATAGAATATCTGCGTATTCCTCAAAAGTGAAATGAAACGGCATCATAAGCACACTCTCAGAACTATAGTTTGATCCTAAAAACACTGGAATAATGAATGAACACCAATAAAACAAACGCTGATGACAGCGGAACAATGGATCAGATCATCGTTATACTAGATCATCTATTCTTACAGGAATATAATCATTGAAAACCGCATTCCAGTCCTGATACTTATTATTTTTCAGTTTTTTCGGGTAATGAGAGTATTATTTTACTACGATTAACGGACTGATTGGAGGAAATAACGATATTCATGTCATGGTTTCGTTGATATTTATTATATTACCAATTTTGATAGTACTTTATCCGACAATAATTGAATTTTGAAAGAAAAAAATTTAAATAATAATTAATTACGGAATAACCAAAATAGTGCCAGGAGATCATTCAACAAATTCCTATACAATTTTTACCGTAGATATCGAATCTGAGTTGGAATTTTTTGTTATTATTATACAGGGTGAGTTATTCTCACAATAACTCAACATAGCGGAAAAATATCATTCCATTCCTAATATTGGTTTCGATCAAAGGGCTACTTGTTGATGCTTTTCAGTGTAATTCGTGTACCAAATTTGAATCTAATCGGTTAATCCTTGTATTTGATATGACGGATTGAATTTTTTGTCAAAATCCACAAATCACTCTGTATGTCAATAACGAAGCGGTTTTGGACATTGGTTTATGGCATTTTGCAATCATATCGACAGTCCCTATAACCCCACAAGTCTTGTCGGTTTTATCTCCGGACACCCTGTATACAGCACATCAGAAGTATTTAGAGTTCTGAAAATGACACAAGTGGAAATTTGGCGGTGTTTGAGGGCTTGCTTTTGTCTGTGCTTTTGTTGATGGAAAGCGTGTTTATAATATTGAATAAATCAAATCAATGTGTTACAGTACCTCAAAGTTGATTTATTCCCGATTTATCAGATATACAGGATGATTAAAAAGAGGTGTCCCCCTTGCTAGGGTATGTAGAACACAGAAAAGTTGTGTTTGTTCAGTAACAAAAAGTGGTCACGGCATTCGTTTTCAAGATACTTACAAGGTGTTGAAAAAAGTTGTTTTTACACATTTTTTACGATAATGCCGAAATTAATAACAACATTGTAATAAAATTTTGTATGAATATGTTTGTTCTGGAAACTGACACATGGCATGAATTTGTTTTCATATCTGATTCTCTTAGAGGGTGCAAGTTACACGGTTCATAACGATTAATTTTGAATATTCATTTTTTGAGGTTAGATTTTTTCGAGTTTTTAGCCCAAATTCCATGTGAACTTGAACATTATTCAATTTAACACCAAAAAGGTACTCTTGATAAAACATTTTCATATGCACTAGTTTTTCTCTATATCAAGTCGTTTCGGAGTTATGAGCGAAAAACTAAAACAACTCCCAATTTTTCATAATTTTCTGCCATTTTTTTATTTTTCTTAATTTCGTTCAAATTCATAGAAGGTTCGAAGTCATTGAACGGTCGCGTCTTTGTTTATTAATTCCAAAATTTTCGAATCGTGAACGAACTTTTTTCCATAGTTGAACATAAACACAGGCGTGACATTGACTTCAACTAGGGTCCCTTGATGCTAACTGACGTATTTGTCATCTTAACAGGGTACGGACAGATCCTCGTCTCCTCTCACTCTAAAGTGTTTCTGAAACAGCTATATAGTTCCATCCTTATTCAATTCTAGGGATAAACACTAGATTTTTGACATTCTTTGTTTTTTAGGTTATATTGAGGTCACTGGCGTATCATACGTAATTTCGATATGGAATTCCTGATTCACCAATACCAAAGATAGATGAACAATCCTCTAGTTTCAGAGTTTACTACTCCAGCATGATCTTTGTGAGGTAGGGAACATATAAATTGTACTGAAAGCTCAATATATTTCACCAAAAAAGACTGTTCTTAGACTGTATACCAGGGTTGACTGAATTGACTAAATGAATTCTGATTTCAAGCTGAGCAGAAGTTTATCTATGAGCTGAATGAGCTGAGCCTCATGATTGAGAAATCGTGGAAACTTCGATGTGGGTATCTGAACTACATACTGTACTCATGTCATGTGTACTGAATATATTTTCGGAAATCCAATTCGGAGAAGAATTAATGGAGTGACTAAAATCACACTATGTATAAAACTTCGTCTGGGACGAAAAGTAGGCTGATAAAAAGTAAGACGTGAAATATGCAGAAAAATACAGAATACAATATACTTCAACCATCATGTTATACCTATGATTTTCCTTCTCCCATTTATTATTGAAAGTTTCAAAGAAGTAGGTATATATTGTATACGCAGTATAACTTATTGGCACGTTATTTTCACTCTTGCATCCTACATATTTTCTATCTGTGGTAGAGTAATAATTATTTGAACTAATGGCTTTCGCCATATTGGGTCCATCATCTTGAATTTTCAAATTTTGACGAAACAATCATTATCTTCTATCCCGAAAACCCCCAGATTCCAATTTTGAATAGAATCGGATCTTCATTACAAAACTCGTCCACCATGTTGGATCCGCCATCTTGAATATCCCAATTTTGACGAAATAATTATAATCTCCGACCCCGGTAATCGCCAGATATCAAATTCGTTCGCCATATTGGATCCGCCTAATTTTGACAAAAAATCATGAAGTTCGTCCCCGAAAACCCTCAGGATACCAATCCTAAATATAGAATCATATCATAAGTAGAAATTTCTTTCGCTACATTATATTGGATCCGTCATCTTGAATTTTCCAAGTTTGACGAAATAATCATTGAATCCAACTCCGGAAAACCCCAGATACCTTACAATTCTGAATAGAATCGGATCATAATTACAAAACTCGTTCGCCATATGATCTTCCTCAACAAGTAAATACCCTGTACATACCTATTATCAAAATTTTGAATGATTTTCTGTAGCGCCCATGGATGTGACGTGACAGCAATGTCAGGGATGCCAGTAAACAAAACTAAAGTCTCTAGATCATTGAAAAAGAATGCAGCTATGATCTGTCCGTACCCTGTTAAGATGACTTTAACGTCAATTTCCATCAAGGGACCCTAACTTCAACGAACCTGGACTATCGACCTGATTTCCTTACTGTCACGTTTCCGAAAATATAGACAACTATTTAAAAGACGTAAGGAAGCGGGTTCGACAGTTCGACTACCGGTTCGACTGCGACGGTTCTAGTATTGTTTTTTTGAGTGCGAATCAGGGAAGTTCAAGTTCTATCGATTGTAAGTTTGAAAAGTTGCCACTGTGCCCGAACCTTCGGAGTTCGGGCAGAACAGAAGATGCCCTTCCTCAGGCTCCCAGACAATATCAGTCAATTTGTACATATAGGGTAAGTTAAGGTTTTATTTAATTGTTATTCATTCCCAAGAATAAATGTGTGTATATGTGTTGTTTGAAAACCCTTTTGAGTATCATTTATTATGATCACTTTCAAAGTTCATTCTCTAATGGATCTAGAACACAACTTAGGCAACCCCCGCCTACAGTTTGTGACAATATCCGAATCTAGTCGATAACTGAATTTTTAGATACAGTATCCCAAAAAACATATGGATCCGTTGAGAAAAATTCTTTAGCAATTTTTTCCTGTCCAAACTACCAAATGATTGGACGAATAAACAAGATGATTAAAAAAAGGTAAATGTACCTCGGTACCACAGACTTTTTCCTTTATATACAACCAAACTGTGTAATCCATGTTTTCAGTAAACTTTATTTCAATGTTATTCTTGCGATTCATTATTTGATTAATGAATTCAACAACAGAAGTATATTGTTGTTTTCGGTTTTCATTAAATAGGTGATAGTTTTTCATAATACTTACTCTAATACATAGCATTCTACCAGCAAGTTATCAATTCATCATTTCCAAATCAAAATATTCTGAAAACGGTCCACATTCACATTAAATTTGAATAGAAAAATCTAACCTCAAGTAAGTTCAAAACTACTCGGTATGAAGCATGTAACTAGCGCCGTCTATAAGAGTAAGTAATAAAAACACATCCATACAAAATTCCATTACAATGTTGCCAATAGTCTCGACAAAATCGTAAAAAATGTGAAAAACAATTTTTTTCAACCCTTGTATCCTGAAAACAGATGTTAACTTATTTTGCAGTGTTTTACATACCATAGCTAGGGTGTCATCTTTTTTTGGAACACCCTGTATGAAATAAATCTACAAAGATCAATTATCTGGCAATGATTCCGCAGAGTTATCCACACCATTCGCGATCTCATTCGTTTATCCGTGTTTGGCGTTGAGGATTGAGGAGCAGAAGTAACAAAGGGGATAAGTACCAAAATTGTTAAGAGATATTCAAATAAAACTTCTTGCACCCAAATAACGAACATTTTATTTTCAAATAATAAACAACATATTATTTGTCTTACGGCTAAATTACGTTACGAGGCGAACAAATAAAAAAAAAAATAAAAAAAATTGATAAATATAACATTGAGAAATGAGCTGAGTGCCAACATGTCATTTGGTTGAATTAGAGTGAAATTCTTGGTGTTTATCATCTTTCAAATAAGAAATCATTGATATCAAGTGGTTTCTCTTGCTAACTGATCTTATTTATGTCTAGTAGTTGGGTAATTGTGATATTTTTTGATCTTCTTATGGCACTTGGACCCTTTGATGTAAAAACAACTAATAACTTAACCTATCACTAGCAGAAAGAGCTGCTATCTGCCTGATCGGTTACGGAATTTGCAGTTCAACATCAACTGATATAAAAATCGCCAATTCTAGCACCCACCTTATAGATCTCTCTGTAGGCGATCAACCGCAGGGCCTACTGCGCTGAGCAAGTCAAATCTTCACGCTGCTGCGCGCGCTGAGCAAGTCAAATCTTCACACTGCTGCGCGTTCAATAACATCAACTGATATAAAGATTCGCAACCCTAGCGCCCACCTTATAGATCTGTCTGTAGGCGATCAACCGCAGCGCGTAATGCGCCGAGCAAGTCAAATCTTCTCGCTCCTGCGCGTTTTTTCTTTTTTTTTTGCAATTGCATTACCTCGTTGGTCCCAGCACTGGGACCAAACGCCCCATAATTCGAAACTTGTGCGGGGTTAGGTAAGCATACAAACACAAACATCCATGGCCTAACTAGGATTCGAACCTATGTCTCGGTGGGAGTCCCCATACGAACTCAGCGCCTTCACGCTCTTGACCACCGAGCCACGTTTAACAACATCAACTGATATAAAGATCGCTAATTCTAGCACCCACCTTATAGATCTGTCTGTAGGCGATCAAACGCAGCGCCTACTGCGCCGAGCAAGTAAAATCTTCACGCTACTGTGCGTTCAACATCAACTGATATAAAGATCGCTAATTCTAGCACCCACCTTATAAATCTGTCTGTAGGCGATCAAACGCAGCGCGTACTGCGCCGAGCAAGTCAAATCTTCGCGCTGTTGCGCGTTCAAGGACGCCGTCGCGTCCGGCCCGTCCTTCTCGCACGGATCAGCCAATCCGGGCCCTCCGGGCAAGAGCAGCCCGCTGGCCACCGCTTCCATCACGCGGCGCAGGGCATCTCCGGGCGACAACTGCGACTGGCCCGGGGCAGACGATACCACCTTCTCTGCTAGCAATTCCATGGCCTGGAAACGGCGATTCGAATATGATAGGGTAAAACTAGAGTCCCTGTATGTATTTGACACTTTTGCTGTAATAAGAGTACGGACACTATGACAAGCAGTGACAGAAGGCATAACCCTAAAAAATTTGAAATGACATGAACAATTTGGCGGGCACTGACAGATCATGAACGTACACGACATTAAATTATCTGAAAATTCAGGTTTTCAAAAATTAAAATGTCTAATTGTGTAGTGGAGAATTGCAAAAATGGAAGCGAGTCCTTTCATTTATTCTATTTCCCCCATTCTAACCAACAACAGTTACAGAAATGGAAAGAAAATATGAAGCGGCCACTATGGAAATTGTATTCAGGTAGCAAGATTTGCGAAGTAAGTATTCAATATTTGAATTTTTCGATTGAATATGATGCATATTCGAAGGAATAATATCATTTATAATTTCAATTTCAACATTATAGGTGCACTTCAAATGTGAAGATTTCATAGTGGAACATACCATCAAATTGAAAGAAAATGCGGAGCCTTCATTCCATCATCAGAAGGATTATCGAATACATTCCTTATCGAATTCAGGACAATTTTTACGAGGAAAAATTCAAGTAGAATACCAAGATGGAATATGATGAATCGGAATATTGAGCACAATGCCGCGTGGATGATAAAAAAGGTCCAAAATGTTATTGGTCGCAATTTGTAAATTGTGACCATGGGTTCACGAGATATGTACACCATCGAATATGATTCATTGTGCAGATTGTGTTCCAGATCAAGTACCAAGTTTTTTTTTCAATTTCATAAAATAGTTTATTTCTTACGAGAATAGCATGTTGCCATATTACCCAACCTGTGATGCCATATTACCCATGGTATGGGGTAATATGGCAATATGATATTACTATGCACTTTTACTTGTAATCTTTTGCTGTGTGGAAAAATGGCAACGAGCGACTCTGGACACAAAAATATATTGTGTAAGCTCTAACGTGCAGCCATCGTCTTTCAGCTAGGCGCGATGGTTATAAGATTGTGAGCATTTAAATTTTATGTTGCCATATTACCCTACTTTACTCTACCATTATTTGAAATTTTGTATTCTTGTCATAGGATATACTATTCTTGAATAATAATCATTATACTTGTATTTGTCGAATTTTCTGATCGTTCATGCCCTATGAAGTGTCTTAGTATGTTATGAGAACAAATATAAGTTTGTTAATTGGTTGAATTGTTCTTCCCATTCATTTACATTCTGCCCATAAGAACTGGCTACTAAATCCTGACTCTATCTATTGAAAAACTAGTGCATCCTAAAATCAAATAAATTGAAGTACATATACCCTTTGTTAAGTATATCGAGAAATACTTTCAACAAATTGATTTACAAACTATGACCCCTTTTCGCCAGTGAGATGAGACTCCACTTCTTCATGAAAAGAAAGACAGAGAAATATATATGGATGTACCTTTCACCGCGGCAGTATATAGATGAAAGAAGATCCGAAGTCCACGGAAAAGCAAATCAATGTCTTTGTTCAAAAGTAATTTTGAGAATTTGGGGTTATGCCTTCCGTCAGTGCTTGTCATAGTGTCCGTACTCTTATTACAACAAAACTGACAAATATATACAGGGAATTATACATACAGGGACTCTAGGTAAAACATGTCGGCTTCTTTAGGTTTGAACATTGTCGATCTAAATGGAGAAGCTAGACTAGCTAGAGGTATAATATTGTCTGTTCATTGACCCAAAATATGTCTGCCTAGCAATAGGGCTACTGTATAGGAATGTCAATAGCTTATTTGTTTCGATGTAAGTGATACTGTTTTGTTGTCTTGTTCTATTTTTTTCCAAATAGTAATCAACCAGTCAACCACAGATATTGATAAAAGTCATGATGGAAAATGACAGTTTACACGACTGGTGGTTGACTCCCTTTTTTGAATTATCTTTCTCCTAGTGTTGCTTGTTCTCTATTAGTTAGTTAGTTTGTATTTGTTGTTCTTGTTATTGTGCTTGTATGTAAGTAGGTAATTCCACATAAGTACGTTGATTAGTTTTTTCATTAGCTGTTGTAATTGTACATAGTTTAGAGCTTCTGGTGGATATTATTTTTGATTACCCATCAATAATTTTTTTATCTAGTGCTTCTTTCAGCTTATAGATATTTCATTGTCTGATTTTGAGAGTTTATTGTTTTGATTATGCTCTGCATAATGTCGCGTATAAATAATGTCGTGTATTTTGAACTCCAAGAGATGCTGTTAAAATAACTAGCCACTGCTTCCCCAATGATGTAAATTTGAGGCAACAATGAGTTCAGACAATTTTAAATGCATCATATCACGGTGGAATAAGTATTTTTCTTGGATGGCATATTCGAAAAAAATGCATTGATATTTCAGGGATGACGGAATTACATGAATTATACAGTGCTTTTCTTCAATGAGCCCCCCCCCCCCCCCCGCTTTTTACACAAAGTTTCAATTTCTTCAGTCGTCCCGTTCATCAAATAAAAGGGGGGAAACATTAAAGAAGAGCACGTATAGTAACTCAAAATATAAAGGGAAAATAGCATTCCCCACCTTTCTGCTTGGCTTTCATGTCAAAAATGTTCAAACTGTAAAATTTTTCATCGCAGTACTGACTTTTAGACGAGGTTACCGAAGTTAGATCTCAAATTCATATAACATCATGAATCGAGCTAATATAGTATAGCGTAAACAACTTCTTGCTTCCATTCGAGTATAGATAGATGATTTTCATACTTCATGAATATCTTTATTGATAATGTTTCAATCTCGAGTTACAACATGAGAGATTTTTATTTACAAACTTGTCAGTCTATGTATGCTAGACACTGATAGGAACATGAAAAATGTTTAGGTTTGGAACAATAAATGAGCAACTTAGTTCATGTAGATGTATCTACGGTATAGGTTACTATCACATTTTCTCAATTGTTTTTTCCAATGAATAGACAATATTTTACCTCTGGCTGTTTTCACCATTTTCAGTTTTCGTAAACTGTCGATGGTCATGTCGGAGACACACTTATAGTTGGTCGACTAGTTATCGGTATATGATACGATACTATGTTTAGACTAGGATAAAGAAGAACGCACTAAATACAAGATGAAATGGGGCCGGTGGATAAAAACAGAAAAGATGAGTAGAGTAGATATTAATAAGGCAGAATAGGAACACCGGCCTCGGTTTCGCTTAGCGCCATCAATAATAATTGTCAAACAGTGACGTAATGCGCAAAGCTATTCAAAACTCGAACCACAAGTGAGCATATTCTTGGTTTTAGTAACATGATAGTAATAATAATAGGCAAGAGAACAAAAAATACGTGAATTCAATCCAAATAATAATATGCATAAATAAAACACCATTTGAATACCCTATAATTTTATGGTATATTCAAACAGATTAACCAACTCAGGCACTTAATGAATTAAAAGTAAAAAAAAAAAAACTTTTGAATGAAAAGCTTTTATTTAAACGCTCTAAAAAGAAGAAAATAATATTTTTCTTTTCTGTCTTAACTATCAACTTATAACCTCATTGTACACAATTTATATGATCATGAAAGTTTGTCGCGCGATTCACTTGTGTGAATGAACTAGTCCTTATTCAATTATCTAAAGTCTGCTGAAAAAATTTTTTAAAATTACAATTTAATTAAATATTGATCATCGCCACAAGCTTTTATGATCATATAAATTGTGTATAATGAGGTTATAAGTTGATAGTTAAAATTATTAAGAAAAATTTCATTTTCTTCTTTTTAGAGCGTTTAAATAAAAGCTTTTTATTAAAAAGTTTTTTTACATTTATTTATTTTTTGTTATCGCTAGCTGGATTTTTCGATTTACTCTCAACGAGCCTCTTCATTTGACACCCATATTGTAGAAGTATATTGAAAATGACCATTCCGCCATCTTGGATGGTCCGCCATAATGGATTTAAAATGACGTCACATCATTTTTCGAGTTACTCTCAACGAGCCTTTTCATTTGATACCCATATTGTGGAAGTATATTGAAAATAGCTATTATGCCAACTTGGATGGTCCGCCATATTCGATTTAGAATGACGTCACATCATTTTTCGAGTTACTCACAACCAGCCTTTTCATTTGATACCCATATTGTAAAAGTATATCAAAAATAGCTATTCCGCCATCATGAATAGTCCGCCATATTGGATTTAGAATAACGTGACACACCTTATCGTGCATTGTCATCCAAACTGAACGTGTATACAAAATTTCAGCTCAATCGGTTAAGATTTCTATTTAAAAATTGAGTTCAAAAATTCCACCCGAACATACATACATACATCCATACAAACATACAATGCAAGTTAAATAAAAGCTTTTAATTAAAATGTACCTTTATTTTTAAACATTGAGGCAAGAAAAAGTTACTCAAACAAAGAGATCACCCATGCTACAAGCTCTACTTGTCTGACTAACATATCCTGCATTGCAATCAGAGCATTTAATCTTGTTAACTAACCTATTACACTTAATTTGTATTATCGGCCTGATAATGACTCCTAGGAGTCGAAATTTGTAGCGCAAAAAAGATTTGGAGTGATACTTTGAGTTTTCATCTTCATTATTTTTACTGATATGATCTACTAAACGTCAGATGAAAATGTCAACTTACCCATGGACTCAACGGCGACCAAGTGGGAACGCGCTGGCATAAATCTCTCAAGATGCGAATGACGATCACGCAGGAATGTAGACCCAATGCCCTAGCCTGAAATCATTCGTTGTTGGAACGCTTGTCGAAAAATTTGCTGCTAATAGGGTTCTACATAATTCTTCTAAATTGAACGAATCTAATCACTGACATAATGTGAAAACCGGGTTGCGCGAAAGAAAAAAATGTACTCGAGATTGTCATTGACGTTTACAGTTTACTAGAAAATTTACGTATATGCAAAACTATGATTAGTTTTATATAACGACAGAAAAAATTCTACCACTAAATAGTTTTTAGAGTAGCAAACGGTTCGAGTGAATTAAAATTGGAAAATGTTCAGTTTGAATGGGAGGATGGACTTCTGGAGCCACTGAGCCATTACAACCACACACATCAATATTTTGTAGTGTTTCAAGTCGAATAGCTTTCCAGAGATGGCAACCCGAGTTAACAAATCTAATTAATCGTCTGAAAACGTAGAACCCTGTACATATAAGAAATTATACAATCGACGTAAAGCATGAGATGTGGTTTTTCCATTCAGTTTTGAAAAATTTCAATAAATGACGTAAACGAAATGAAAGAAAGGGAATAGAAGTGATTACATCAAATTATAATAAACAAAAACGAATATAATGAAAACAACTGTCACCAGTGGAACTCCGATTCCCAAAATATGTTTTTCAAGTAAAAACTCACATCTTCATTAAATTATCTGAACGTTGGTAAGTAAATGGGAAGAAAATTTAGTTAGCCGGATATTCTCATCTGTTCAATCAGCGTTAAAAGTTTATAGAAAATAGCAGGGATCATTTTTTGGCCCGAATGAATAATAAAACATTAGATGCCCAAATATGGGGAAAGCGGGAGGCAATTCGAAGAGAATTTTCAATCATCAAAACCCTTCAATTGATGTATATATCTAGTTCAGGAAACCATTTCCCCCTCTCCCTCTCAATATTATTCGTTGACAACGCGATGATTACACCGTATTTATTCGAATTTTCTTTGACATCAATATTTTTATCAATTCGAATATACGGGTTGAAGGTTTAGCTGTCACACTTTCTGACATAGTTGAGATTTGAGATTTTTGCAGACAAAAGTGCAGTAGACTATCGCTGATGATCTTTGACAAAACTGTATTCATTACCGGCCATGAGATAGCATATTTAGAGCATTTTCAAGGTTAATTATATCAAAAAGTATGACAGCTAGACCTTTCAACCCATATAAATATCTAAGAAACCCGAAACTCTCAGGTGAATTGTTCGCCTACAAACCCTTCTGCTCAATGCGCATGAACCCCCAAACTGACTCATGATAGCAAACAATGTTTCTTGATGTTTTGAAAAATTAGTGAGAGGAAAATATATGACAAGTTCTAAATGCGATTAATGAATATTCTCCAGTTCGATCTTGTGGAGGGGCATAGCTTCTTTCTTAAGGCATAGGATGATACCAATGAAAATGTATACTGTTCAAAAGCCTTCAAAATACTATTGAAGTATTCATTATTCCAGATTTTTTGGGATTTTCTCTCCTCGTTTCTATAAAATAAAAATATGAATGTTATTTCAATATACGTGTAGTAAAGACAAATCAGATGATTTGCCCCAAAATGTCACTGCATTTGAAGAATTTTCCCATCAGAGAGCCTACAAGAAAAATTCACTAGCTTGTCAGTGACATTATAAAGAAAAGACAAATCGACAATTCGAAACTAGCTGAACATATCCTTACTGAAGATGGACAACATATGGCAGAGTGGAATAATAGTATAATCATTGGAAAAGAAGATAACAACCAGAAGAGAAAGAAAAATCAAGGAATCTGCTTGCATTCTTCTGAACGGAGACAATAGCATTGCTTCCTGTTCAGTTGATATAGATAGAACATGGTATTCACTATTGAAATCTGAAAATAAAAATGGTGAATTCAAGATTACAAATACGAATTTGCTATTCAAATATATCCATTTTTTATGTCGAAAACGGCAGCAGATTCGTTCCCGAAACGTCCAAAGCTAAGTGGAAATTTGGTATTTTTTTGCTATATACCTTTATTTCTCTTCTCCAAACCTTTTTTAATACAAATTTTCACTGACAAGCTAGTGAATTTTTCTTTTAGGCTCTGATAGGAAAATTCTTTAAACGCAGTGATATTTCGGGGCAAATCATCTGATTTGTCCTTACTTAGTATATTGAAATAATATTCATATTTTTATTTTTTAGAAACGAGGAGAAAATCCCAAAAAATCTGGAATAATGAATGTACCACCTCCTCGATTAACCTACAGACAATACTATTGAATTAGTTGTGTACCAGATAAAAAGCTTTTGATTGGTCGGCAATGTTGGTTAGAAATATAACGCGAACGACGGATTGACAATTAATGTCAAGTATTTACTTTATTTAATGACTCTGTCTAATCTCAATCGATTTCTAAAAACAATGCACCGGGGTATTTGCAATGGAGAGGACTTTATGTTATGTGTAGGAAAGGAATTTCAAAGCTGAAGTTGCTAGAGATTAGGGGAATGAACACACCAATTTGGTTTGACTGTCAAATATGCTTTCCCCAAGTATAAAAATTGACGGGTCCCGCGAATTATGGTAGAAGACTCGGTTTTCTAATCATAAGAGGGTCAAGTTTTCGTTAAGAGACCCTACATATGAACTCCACGCCATCTTGAATCCATTCGACTTATATTGAGCGAGTATCATGACATTTTTCTTCTGACGGAAAAAACAAAAATGCCCAGGCCACTACACGTTCTTCCCATTTACCCGACAACCACCTTCATCAACTAAAAACTAGTCGGTTTCCGCTTCGTGTCACATCAATCCGAACGTCGAAAAAAGCAACTTCTCGCGAACAGTGAGCGCAAAGAGCGTAAGTACACAATCGGTGTGTGAGAGAGAGAGATAGTCGGTAGACACAAACCTGGAACCATTTGGTATGTCTGAGGGCTGCCAGCGCCTGGAGACACTTGCCGCGTGAGAGAACATCCCTGTCGAACCCGCCGCTCGCAGCTTCTAGACATCAACGAAAAGGGTGTTTGACCATCGCTGACACACCGGAGCCACTGCGCACGCTTCGACGGGGCTGCGGCACGTACCCAGATCATTGGCCAGGGCGTCATTCGGTTGTTTTTTATTATGCTAGACTTCATTTGGATCGAGGATATACACTATTTTGAATTGACTCGGCCGTTACTTGATGGAAATCCATGGCAAATGTAAAAACTTCACAAACATTTTCGGAAATTAGGCACAATATCTACATTAAAATACGGTATACCAGATGCGATTTTACTAAATATACTGTACGCTAGCACAAACCACGCCCACCGTAATATCTCATCTTCGAAGTACTGAGGCAAAACTCCGAAACTATTTATCCTTAACGAACTAACCTATTCCTGATTGCAATATTTTTGAGGAAGGAAAACCGAATGGAGTGTAGAAACACATTGATTAATAATATATTTCAAAAGTTGAATTCTTCAACAAAATTGAATAAAATGAGACTGTTTATCCTAAACGCACTAACCTATTTGACTTCAAATATTTCATGAAAAAGGAAAACCAGAATAAAGTAAAAAAACATTGGTGAAAAAAAAAAGTTGCAAAAAAAAGTTCAAGTTCACAGCGATTCGAACCATGGACCTTCAGACTGAAAGTCGACAGCGCTAACCAGTAGACCATTTGGGTGTATGAATTTACTGCGTACAATAGATTGACAACGAGAGAGCTTCAGTCGAATTCTTGCGTTGGAGCACAGTATATTTAGTGCGATGTGCTGACTCCGAGTATATCGGTAATGTCTGGAGATATGACGTATTATGGTGGGCGTGGTTTGTGCTAGCGTGCAGTATATTTAGTAAAATCGGATACCGGATTAACTTGAAAGGGTTGATATCAAATGCATATTATTACTCACTAAGAAAACAAATTCAACAGTGGTGAACTATTGAGATCTAATTGATCGTTAAGTAAAATGTCATAATTTTTAGTTTGTTGATTTATAATGATTCAAAATGATCGAGTTTCATTCCTTTCTACGTGTAGAATTTCGAATTTATCATTATCTAAAACTTAAAATTTGAGAAACGTGTGTGAAATCGTCATAGTAAAGGTTTTTGAAATTCAAACAAATAACCCTGTTTTCAGTGTTTAATTTTAAACAACGTAACTGGACATGTATCAAAAGTCACATGACCCCGACCGAATAGGACATTCTTTTTCAAAGAAAAACAACGTAGAAGTTGATTTCAAAATAAATTATTATCACAAGTGTTTCCCATATAGTGCCTTAATTAACTTGATGGAAAACACTGGTTTCTCAACACCCATATTTTCCATAAATAACCAATTCAAATCACTTACGGTTTCACCGTAAATAGATCTAGGTCGAGAATTCACAATTGGACTCTGTCGATATTCTTACGTCATTCGTAAGTGCAAAAAAATCCTTTTTCAATGACATCACAAGTGGACATTTGTTTATAAAATGGCGCCGGATACATTGTTTCTAAAATCAATATGGCGACACTGTGACGTCATCGATCAACTTTTCATCAAGCAACTTAATAAAATGGCAAATAAACGAAGTATATTAATTGGTTTTTGATGAAACATTGCCAATCAAAATTCATCTTGGCATATCAAATGATATTGTTTCTCTTTTTATCATTTTCAATTGAAAAATCATTCGAGTTTGATTCTTCCCTACACCTAAATGAATAACTACGTCTACATGGATCATAATTTTTTCGAAATCCTAGCACTAAAAACAACAGTAGTGTGTCAAGCATTCATCGGCAGATACTGACTTACACTTTGACAGTAATTAGAAAAAAGTATCATTCCTTTTTTGAAATTTCGCAGAGAAATTCTCAAGAAAGAATCTCACATTGGCGAAGAAAGAAAATGTTCGCATGTTTCATCAAAAACTAATCGAAATGCTCTGTTTATTTGCTGCAGTGTCGCCGAATTAAATTTAGAAAAAATATGTCTCATACGCCGCCATTTTAAAAACAAATGCCCACTTGTATTATGCCATCGCAAAACGGAAATGTTTCCTCTATCAACTGTCGTGAAAATAATATCTATAGGGCTCCATTCAAAATTCTCGACCTTGGTCTATTTCCAGTGAAACCAGAAGTGATATTCAATTGTTTTTTCATGGAAAATATACAAAATATATCTTCAATCCAAATATCAAACGTCTAACATAAAAAACAACTGAAGTCCTGGCCAATCATTTCGTCATCACCCGTTGAAAGCGCCGCAGTGGCGGCAGTGAGCAGGTTGATCAAAAATCCTTAGCCCCACACCATCTAAAATCTCTTCTAGAACAGCCAATTATAGCACAGTACATTTTCATAAGTATTGGACCGGAGTCGACGACTGCCCATCCAATTTCCTTTCTCAATCGATCATTCATCAGGCTAAAATCGGGTCACAAATTACACTCAAGCTAAAAATAAATAACTAGGAGCGGATAGAAATTACAGAGAAAGAGAAATCAAGGCATTGGATGAACATTAATCACAATCCAAACAATAAATGTTGCATTATTGTTCGTCAGTGCTGTCCTCGAGTGTCTTCTTCATTTTGCATCAGTCGTACTATTCTCTTTAATTACACCATATTTTCAGCGACTGATACAGACTGTCGAAATACTGTAAAAAAGTCCAATATTTATTATGGGTTTTCAAGGTTTAAGCTGTATATGGTCACATTCATGTCATGAATGAAAACTTGTGTAGAAAATACTGAAGATTTGCTGCAATGTCTCCTTCTAATTGGTGAATCACTGTAAAAACGTAAATCATCCTTCAATGAATAGAACTTTTATCAGTTTTCATGTCAACATTATTTGTATTAGGTACACGAAAATAAATGAATAAAAGTAATAAATTTGGAAAGAAGTTTCACGATGAAATAATTCTAATGATACAGGGAAGATACAAAAAATTAATGACAAAATAGAATTGAAAAAAGAAATAATAAAATGAGATTAGTTATATAATTTTTGAAATCAAAATGAAACTCAATGATAACCAAAATTAATACAATATTGAGGAAAACGAAAAATAACTGTAAGGTGAAAATGAAATACATTGAAGTTATATCCTATTGAAATATTAATCAGAAATAATTATTTGTCAAGACGATCCAACATAAAATAACGTATAAGATGTTTGAACTTACAGGTCGAGCCATACTTCGGAGAAAAATCTCAACCCCTGAAACAACACTTCAACAAAATGTATTATATCCTTTTAACATTCCCATCGTCACTATCTACAATTATTATGCGTACATGAAAAACCAGCTTAAACCCTGCTCAGTACTGTACACACCTCAGACGAATAAAATACCTAGACACAGACTTCGATCAGTTTTGATTAGCCTAAACTTGCTTTCTGTATTATTATTATCATAAATCAAATTATCCAGCAGTCCAAACGTGACAATTTTTGTAGATTTCGTACTTACCTTCCTGTTCAACATATTCCAAAGCGAGAGATTGGTCTACACACAGGTTCGTATTCACGAAGATTCGATATTGTTGTTCACATGACAACAAAATGACAATTCGTATACAGCGTATCACACTTTAAACGGCCCCCTTTATATCTCAGTTATTATTCATGCGATTCCAACCAAATTTGGTGTGGTATGAATAACCATCAATATGATCAGTTTTACATTGATGCACATCATTTTGGACAGTGCCGTGCGGTTTTATTGAACTAAAAAGGGGTCAATTTTTCATAAAATCATATTAGGCATTTTTTTACAGGAAATCTAACCTCATATTATTGTTCCTCATGCTTTCAAACCCCCATATGCAAGAAATCACCTCATTCCGAATCAACAGTATTGGCTTCATTTTTTTCATTTTCAGTCTCGAATTAATAGTGACTTCAAATCAACTACGGATTTTGGAACTTTCAATGGCTCCGGTAGGTGAAAAATCTTGATTTGGAAGGAAAAACGAGTTATACTTTTTTATGTTGAACTCACCGTTTCCGAGTAAATAATTATTACGTTCGCAGAGAACAATTTGATCCGAGATTTGATCGCGATTGTAACATTCATACTGTGGAATTGTTGATCAAGATTCAAGAGAGTCTAACAAATAACAAACATTTACAAAATATCAAATAAGATAATTTTCGTTGTCATTTGACTATTTTAGTAAGTATGAAAGAACATCATAATAATATAAGGAAGACACATTGACAAAGGAAAATCGGCTGAACATCCTTACCGAAAATGGACATTCGGCAGAGTGGGAATAATAGGAAATAGAAAAGTATATTTTCTACTGCTATAATACAATATTGCTTTTGTTTTACTGTGTTCGATACATCATTGAGGTACTTTGTATGTCATCAATTTTATTTCCGTATCTGATATCACAATGACTCCATTGTGTTATTTCAGATAAACTCTCGCCCATGGAATGTCAAATTTCAAGCAATGACAGCACTGTCGTCTAATACTTCAAACGATGTTGCGCATACCGCTAAAGTGCTGTAGTTTTCTCCCTATGAATTAGACATTAATATGCTCTTTGACCCTGGTTCCTCTATTTCAACGCGCTTGTCCAATATATCGGTACTTTTCTCGAAAGCAGATCGACAGTCTAGGTATCCTATTCGTCCGACCCAAAGATCCAATCATATATAAACTACTAGATCCGCCCTCGCCTTACCGTCCAGTACAGAGCATTGAAACGAACATAAAAGAGAGAAAGAACCATCGCATTATGTGTAACGAAAGACAGGTATAGCATTACCCTCCCTGAGCTTGTGTGACTGTTCGTTACCTCTCTCTTCTCTTAATTGGTTGGTTTCTTGGTTCCCTCCATATTTTACGGCCCAATTCGCGAAATAAAATTTTAGAACTGCTCCGAAAGTGAACAACAATTTAGCATTGTCAGCGCAGGATTCACACTTGTTTCAAGCAAATGTTGATTCATTTACGACTCATCTGAAACCTTCATTATGTATTCAAAAATAATTTTTGAATCAGCCTCATTATTTATAGAAAATAACATAATAAATGTTGGACAATTATTCTATAAAGCGTCAGTGATGTTTGTTAAAAAGTATCCAGTAATAATGAATAAAAACAATTAATTACGATACAAGAAACAAAATAAACAATGTGCGACTTGAGAAACAGTAACTTAAAATGTTTGTACAACATTCTTGTTTCATTGGATCTAAAATTCATAATAAAATCCCATCAAAAACAAAAAGTCTCAATATTATAACTTTCAAGAACAAAGGTTGAAGGCTGGTTTATATAAAATGCAAAAATAATCGATATTTTTTAATCAACTCTCTTTCCATATTTTATTCTTGTTTTTATGTATCTTGATCATTTCTATATATTTTTAATGTTTATATTCAATTAGCGTATTTCCATAGTGAAAAAATGATTTTTATACATCTAATAATTCATCTCTTCCACACACAAGTCCCAACCAATGCGAATGAGATACAATATGAAATATATATGTAACTAGTATTAAATGAAAATCTGTATATTTCACTTGATTTGATAAATAAATGAATAAAAAGTTTGTGGATCCATTTTGTGTTAGTTGATTGTTTATTTGAGATATCCCGTAAATGATATAACAGTCAGAGTGAAATCCAGCATTTCTCAATACAGCCATTCCCTCTTGTTTGTACTTATAAAAAAGTCCTGCAAAGACCAAATTTCCTAACTGGTTTTCTGAAAACTTGAAAGCTATATGGTTTCCATTTGATTTCAAGACAACATCCATACAGGTGAACAACAAATAGGTCTGAAGAAGATTGCAATACACTCAATGAAGTTTTTTTTATCACAATACAATCTATCTATCTAGTGATAAAAAGCATATCGAAAATAAATATTAACTGATAAAACAAACTCCTGTCAAATTTAATGTTTTACTTTTCTCAAATGATAATCAATAAGTCATCATCAAAAATATCTCAGACTGTTCATTCAGTCTCAAACAATATGTACCATCTCACTTTTACGTTCGTTTCGATCCCCCTCTCTCCTTAGACGTGATTTAGTAGATATAAAATTAGATCTTCGGTCCGACCGTAAGTACAGGGGGAGCGAAACTCTGGTCTCAGCTCTATCATAGGAGAAAAAAACAATAGAAGAAACGTGCAGAGAGGTTCTCAAATGGTATAAGTTGCATCTGTTTTGAGCCCAATTCGTAGATTATTTTTATATTTGGAAATCAATGTAATGACATATTCGGAAACAGCTATTTTTTTTTTCAAGAGAATTTGCTACTGCTTTTCTTTAAAAAAGATGTTCTCCAAGAAAACAAAGTCAGCTGAGAGTTCGAGAAAAAATTCAAACGGCCATACTTCGGCAAATCCTTAGAAAATCTGCTGCCAACAGCAGAGGAGTCTCAGTGAAGTTGGCCCAACGCCCCATATTGATCAAAGGCGTTCAAACAATATGGCGAATGAATTTTCCAACAAGATGATGCCGCTTGCCATACAGCTAAAATAGTAAAATATTGGTTGGCAGAAAACAATTTTCCAGTTTTGAAATGGAGGTCGAGTATAGTCCAGATCTATCGCCGATTGAAAACTCATTGGCATATCCACTGAACTATAACCTTACAAATGCTGATACAGCTACCTGCGCGTGAATATTCAACGCCTCCCATGGGGATCTTTACCTTAAGGTTCTGCGCCGACGCAGTAGAACCAAGATAAGAGAAGAATGTCCGTGATTATCGAAATTGCTTACAACCGCAGACGTCGTTGATTAGATATTTTTGTGCCCATCATCTGCCATTCCCAAAATATCTAGAGAAATGAATATTCCACCTTCTCGATTAACCTAGACAGTATTTGAAATCTTCTATTTAAACACTACAGTTCCTATAGTAGTAGTAGTGATTTGATCAATAACAAAATGTATTCAGGTTTGTCTTTCCTTTAAAAAATGTATTATGAATAACAAAATGTATTTCAGTTTGTATTTCCTAAAATGTATTTGAGTTTGTCTTGCCTTTAAAGAATGTTTTCGGTTGGTAATTATTGAATACAAAACATGTAGTTGCATATTCCATGTTTTAACTAATGTTTTCAATATTATTACTGTGTGAAAAATATATTAGCATGATTTACATACCTATATTTGTATGTAAAATTTCATTTGGTCAGAATGTGTACTTACTACCCTTTTTCAACTTTTGAACAAAATTTCAACTACTTGTTTCTATCTATATCAATTCAGAAAAATAATTTTTTGAGCCTCAAAGTCTGTTCTGTATTTTCTCTGTTCCAGATATAAATATTAATATCCATCATAGGAAAGAGATATTTTCGAATGGTAATTTTTCCGAAGCTCGGCTAAATAACGCCGACGTATGTTGTCATTTGATGACCGTCTTTGAAAAATGTAAATTCACACACTATTATACATTATAATTCGATATACTCCAATAGGCAAGAAATAATCGTTCATTGGCAAGACCGGCCCTGGTTTCAATATAAATGTGCATGCTCACAACCTTAAATCCGCCATGTCTGCGCGAGGTTCTAATGATCGTATTATTGATATCATGCATCGGCATTCCATTTGTAGGGTTATAGTTCAGTGGGCATATCACGAAAAAAAAAAAAGATCCGATCGAATCCCGTAAGAACCGCACCAAAATTGCGAACACGTCTCCAAGAGATTTTGAACCTGTTTTACACAATATTAAGACGTATCAAAGCAGTAATCAGTCGAAAAGGCGATGTCCATAGGATATTGGCTTTCGACAGGGTGAAAATATTCTCGGAAATATTGACGCTCTGCCACTAACTTAGATTAGTTCGGGTCGCGGCTACTTATGTATATTCGCAAATGGGATATCATATTATATAATCTGTCTTAGATCAGTTTGAATCGCGGCACGTTCGGCTCATCGCAAAGGGGATATTATCCCCTTTTATTTGCTTTTTGTTTCAACTCGTTATCACAGACTCAGATTACGGGGTGGCACAGGTAGGGATTTGAGATCTACAATTTCATTGGTATCAAATGGCATAATTCTTATCACGTTATCATATCGCGAAATTAAGTGCAAATTATCGCACAGGAAAGTGTCACTTTTCAATCAGTTTGCACATGATAGTGATTGGCACAGGTGCCGGTTCGATAAAATACAATGTTTTGCATGCCTTCGAAACACATGATATTTCGTTATCAGATAACGGTCGAAATTTGAAGCAGGCTACTATTATACCAAATAATCATTCATCCCACACAAAGCAACCACGAGGACAAGTATATGCGGGGCAGCAACAATCCGTCCAGGCAGGATTACTGCAGCGATCCGTATACTGCGGTGTTTGTTTAGCAATATCTATTAGCTCTTTTCAAAGACGCCAAAAAATTGGTATGTTTTCTGAAAGAACAATTCAATAGTTCAGTCCCCAAATGTGGGAAAATATGCGAATTTGACAACATGACTTGACCCATTCACGAACCTCTTTCCAGACCCATTTTCTTCCATCGCCTTCCCTCTCCTCACGACACAGCCGACCCACCGAGCATCCCCCCACCCGTCACACCAGCGCACGCGTCCCCTCCCCTCACTTACCTCCCCCTCCCCACTCTCCCCCCACCTACCTTGCTGCTCTCTGATCACCGGACTGGTGAATTGCACCAGCACCGTCATCCCTTCGGCACCGATCACCAGTCCCGCCTCGGGCGCGTTGATCGTTACGGCGTACGCGCGATCCGGGGCAACGCGCTTGAGGGCAGGCGGCAGCAGCTCGACCACTTTCTTGAGCAGGGTTAGCGTGGGCTTGTCGGCGCACAAGACCACGAGTTCGACGTTGGTGTCGCCGGCGAGCAAAAGGCCTTTGGCGAGATGGCCGACGCGCATGACGCCTTTGAGGGTCCTGGGAGCCAAGTCGCCTTCTTGTTGGAACGAGAATCTGGAAGAAGGACAAAGTCCCTTTTTTTATGCAGATTAGGATATTTTCCTTCCGTATATCCGATATTAACAAGGAATAAAGAAAACGCGCCAGCAACGAAACAAACTGAGCGAGAAGTCATTATTATGTCCCTCTCTCTTCTGCGATAAACCCCTGGGATATTCAAGCATCGCTACCAAATTCACTAAATACAATCTGTCAATTTAAATGATATAATTTTGAGAATGTCAGCTCCAGAAAGCCTAATTAGTGAGGTTAAGATAAAGGTAATTTTGCACTTATCATGCGATGGGTTTTTTCCGAAAATTTGTGTTGCTACTTACGTATTTTCGTCTGAAAAACACGAAATTCACAATGAAAATGTGAACAAACCACTATTTATCGAGATATTCCACGAAAAAGTTCGAAATTTCATCTCATTTTACCACTCATCTTGGATTGCATTTGCAACTACTTGCCCTTCTTTTTTCATCACTGGACACTTCATATACTTTCGTTGTACTTTAATGACACATTTAATTTATTAAAATCAGCTGAAAGTATGTTTTTTTCGGCGATTTTTTCATATTATAAAGTGAACAATCACTCCAGCTGATGGCCATTAAACACAGCTAAGACATACGTCGCATGCTTGTCAAGTATGCCAGAATTAATTTCCACCTTAGGGGTGCATTCACGAACTTTGGATTAATGGCATTGGAATAACTTTCACCCACCACCTTTTTGATTTTGAGGTGATATATTCCTCCTTTTTCAAACTTTTTTCCACTTTAATAGTTTGAAAATAGCTGTTGTGCGATTTGAAACTTGAGAACAAATCGGAATTATACCATTCAAGCGTTCATCCAAACAATTTTCAGCTACAAATTCGATTTGTTGAGAGTGCAAGAATTCCCTTCTACCGGGAGTTCAAAACATCAGTTCACCGCCAACTTTTCGAATTTAAATTCAATATTCGTTCTATGTGAGACATTAGGACATTACGAACAAAATGGATCTCATGTTGAGTGATTAACTTCAATTTATTTTGAAGATTCATACTGCATAATAATTATTTTGAACTTCATGTGGAAACAAGAAGGGAGGACGAATATTCTTCAAAATTCAAAATGACATTGACAAATTAAGGAATGTTTCCGGTTATGTCAACGACAAATGTGGCCACAGCCCCATACTCGCGTGATTCAAAGGATCCTGGCGATTCTTGAATTTTGTCCCGATTCTTACATGTAGAATGAATAGAGACAAATATTGCCACACACCAATATTCAAAAGGTGATGGATGTCGAATGACTTGCAGTCAGTGTCTCGTCTCGGTATTTACATAAAGGATGATATTTTCGTCAACTCCTCGACAAGAACAAGTCAATTTTTTTATAAACGTATGCTAAGTACTATGTATAATAAGGAGAAGGAAATATAATATTTTGGAAATCATGCATTATTGTTCTTTCAGAGGATGGTCCAGTGAGTGAGATAATATTTGTGAATGATGACAACACAATTTAATCAAACAAATAATACCCAATATAAAAATAAATTTCAACATCAAGTTTTCTTAGTAAATGCTCAATAATATTTCCGTTTGCTTATTATAAAACCGCCACTAAATTTTTTTCTCTGGAACGCCATAAAGAACACCGTTTACAAAAACGGCTCCATTGCCTTCATAGAAGAACTGCGACAGCAAATTATAACCGCATTTCGATCTGTATAAAGGCGATCTGTTGAAAGGTATGTGAGAAGAGTTTCAGAAAAAACAAATAAATGCATAAACGCAAACAGAAATATATTTTTGAGAATTTACTATGAAAGAAAACTTTAAGTTCGGTATTTTTGTTTAAATTGTGTTTTCATGATTCATGAATATTATTTCATCAAATGATAAACAATTGATTAATTATCATTTTGGTTTCGTATAACTAATAATGCATTCAGAATTTGTTTTTTTATGTTCTGGTTCCCACGAAGAGGGATATCCTGTAATGTTCAGAGAACATCGTGATAACCAATCGCTGTTCGTTGGATGAACGAGTCTTTGGAATGAGATGGTCTGCAAATCCCCAAAGTGACCACGAAGGGGTGCGAAGCCTCAACTCGACGGGTTAATCTCGCGAGGACTGCCAAGGGAGGAACAGTTGTTGATACTTCAGAAGAGAATCGTCCATGAAAATATCTATAGAGCCAGATCGCCAACTTGTCTACGGTGTTCCAGAGAAGAGAGTGAGTTTGTGAGCGAGGCATCACCCACGAGACGAATTGCCCTTTCTTGGACAGAATCCAACAGTTTCAGGGTATGTTTGGGTGCTGCACTCCAGATATGGGAGCAGTATTCCAGGACAGGTCGGATCTGTGCCTTATAGATCATAAGCAGCTGACTGGAAGTGAAATAGCTCTTGGCCCGAAACAGAAAACCGAGGTTTTGGGATGCACTTTTAGCAATAATTGATCTCGCGTGATTTTCCCAGGAAAGGTTATTGCTGATAGTAATACCAAGCATCGAAATGGATGTCTTCAAAGGTATGGTTTCTCCTGACAAGCATATGTTGGGCACAGTGAGATCGGCTTTTCTAGAGAAAAGGCATGCTTGTGTTTTGTTTGCATCGAAATCTACCCAAGTTATTGGTTCCTCATTCGAGAATTGTTGCCAAGTCCATATTTATGTTGTCAACATTTCTCCCTCGTTCGTTTCTCATTTGCCTGGCTGGTATTGGAGCCCTGGAAGAGACGGCGGTATGGAGGGTACTATCATCCACGAAGCTGTGTACTGGACATGAAGTTGCTTCCAACAAATCGTTGATATGAAATAGAAATAGTGTTGGTGCTATAATTGGTCCTTGCGGAACACCAGCATTTATGATAAGAGGGTCAGATGAAACTCCGTCGACCACTACATGGAAAGATCTGTTTGAGAGAAAACTAGCTAGCAGAGAACATAGCTGGGGAGGCAAGCCATAAGATGGAAGCATGGCGAGGAGTCCGTTGTGCCCCAATTTGTAAGAGTAGTTGAACAACTTCCAGAGAACAGTTGTTAGTTCGGGAGCACTTATCTTGAGAACAATCGATGGGATTCCGTCAGAGCCACAAGCTTTGTTGGTGTTGAGACCCAATAAAATCTTCCTTATAGTATGTTGGCGAAAGGTGATCTCGGACAATTGACTGTCAATTGGCGTTATGTTTGGAGGTTGTTTTCCCGATGAGTGCAGAGTGGAATTTTCAGCAAATGAATGCGAGAAAATGTTGGCTTTCTCCTGGGCAGTTGTGATTAGTGTTCCATCTTCCTTGGTTCGAGGAGGAAACGAGCTGGAAGTGAATAAGAGCTATTCCATTATGTAGGAGTTACTTGGCACTGAATAATGTGTTAGACAAAGATGAGTATCTCCATACCTTTTATAAAATCTTTTTCATTCCAGATATCTCCGGAGATAATTCAACTCATCTCTTAAGGTTACCGGGATCCCCATGCTTACTTTACACCCCAACAGGTCCTCATGATCTATAAAGCATAGATTCGGCCTTCTTTCGAATACTGATTCCACATATGGAGTTCAGCACCCAAACATTTATGCTGATGCAGTCAGATGCTTTGACATCATTGGCACACCGAAGAAAAGTCGACGACCTTTCAACTGCCTAACAATACTGCCACGGAAAATGTTCTTCAAGAATCTCTGCTATGATTCAATCACTAGCAATAACAGTCAGACATACTCTACAAGTACATTCAGCACATCCTTTCGTCGTCATTCTCAAAATATGTCGAACAAATCTTCATCAGAACTGTCTGTTGGATAGCAAAGGTTCGGAATTTTTTGCCAAAGGGAGTATTCCAAAAAACTTAGAATCCCCAATAGTTAATAAAAAACTACAATACCTACCATATCTCCTTTCCTTCCTAGGTTCACAGTAATCTTCATGAATATTTCTGGATACAATCAATCGTATTTTGATGAAATGATCACCTTTCCTGCAATTTTTTGTACATATTTTTGACAAGTGAATTATAACCATTATTCTCATAATTATTCCTAATTATAACCTCAATAAGTTTTCAAAAAATAATATGGTTCAATAATTACTTCTGATGGTCAATGTTGCCAAAAACGTTTGAGATTTGATTTCAAGGATAACTACTTTTGTCTACAATAACAGCTGGCAGATTGTAATATTCATTGAAATATCACAATGTACACTCGTCTCCAGTTAACATATCGCGGTTGGACTGTATGAGCCCTCTTATTGCAACGGTGATTAAGAGAGCTGACACCGTCCATGTGCGACATGATCTCTGAAGACGACTGTACATACAACCCGTAAAATCACTTTCGAAAATAGCTACTTTCGGTACAATTTGTGTAATGTGGTAACTTTCATGGTATATAAAAAAAGAAGAGACCCATTAGAGAATGTTTGGGTTTAATATTTTGATTTTAATACCAAATATTCGTAATACCGCAGGTATTCACCTAAATTTGATCCATCATTCAGTGGAATTTGAAGAAAAGAAACAACGTTTCTTGCAATAATTTGGTTGAATAATCCGTGATAACTTCACCACTGCTCAAGTTACAAGAAACTATAACCTTACTTACCGTCGAAATACCAATTTGTGGGGACTTTTTCACAATACACGCACTGGCGAACCATAATAGACATTCAATAATAATTATTACCTTAACATAGTTTTGTAACAAGAAAAAACTGAAAATCAATTGGAACGCAAGAAGTCCTAAAATGGTAACAAACACAGCACAACAACACTATAACGTCGGATTTTGACATACGTGAATGACTTCAAGAATAATATGCGTCACTCATAGTACACACACCAATACAGCGGTGCCACAGTTATTCCTATAATACATTATCATTTTATGTAATGATGAAATTAGGGAAATTTAAATTAAATGAATAGCAGAAATCACATATTAAGGAACACACATACGGAATAAATATACATAACAAATGTACATTTTGTACTTAATGTATGCCACTCACGTGGGAAGAGAGAATGGTAGTGTACTAGATATAACCGGAAAAACTGTGTATTCACTCTACCACACGATAACTTACTCTAACGCCGCCGGACCACTTTACTTTAGTTCACAAATCCAGGCGATAAAGTGCATTGAGTTATTTTTCGAAACGATTGCAGAAAAACACCGAAACAATCATCATTATCATCGTAGATACTCACAACTGATTATCTCGTCCATCCTCCTTCTGCTGCTCGAAATCCACCTTCCCTGTTACGGCCGCCGCTTTCCCGTCCTTCGCCTTAGCGGCCTCCGCCATTTGATCGGAGCAGATCTTGAGGGCACGCTCGGCGTGCGACACCAAGCGCTGCACGGCGCGCAGCTCCTCCTCCTTGGGATAGATCTCAGAGTGGCGTGCTGTCACGTGCTTGTCGTCGCTAGAGTCTGGGCGGCGTTGCGGCTGTCCCCCGCCTCCTTGGAAGAACTGGAAGAGGACAGACATACCTCAGACTAAATAACGATAACAATAGATAAGTCATGGAAACCATCCATCCTTCTCAAAGTGGTCCAGATTTTTTTCAAAGAAAAAACAAAATACACTAAGTCGGTCGACCACAAAGTTTTATTACAAAAATTGATTTTTTTGTGACTAGTTTCGGCTCAAAGAGCCATCTTCAGACACAATACACAGTACCTGTAAAGATATTTAGTTAACAAGGATAATAAAATATTGAAAAACAAACATACCTATAAGGCCATGTGGAAATCACATAATAAAATGAAATTAAAAATTTTAAGGAGCAGTGGTCATTTGGCTAAAAATCGGTCCGGTAAAGAAATATTAAAATTTGTGAACCGACTGATTTTTATCGGACTATTATTATTATTGACTGACGGCTGAGGGTGACGGCTGACACTGACAAGCCAGTTGTCAATTATTCTTCTTATTTCTTAGAGCATTCCAGTCCTGTGCACCGGTGTCGCTGTGGCCTGTGTCACGTCAGGCGGTGGTCTATGGATCATGAAATTTTGACATGAATGGAAAAATATAATTAAACTCACTAAAATTCCGATATTAGTAAATACGAAAATCGACGGAAAAGGAAAGATAAATATGAATTGAATCTGTTCAATTCGTTTGGAACTGTGTTTCCGATTCTCCAGGTAGACTTGATGAAATAGGGTGAATGAATAATTTTCCAGACCTTACCTAAAAATACCAGAAACCTGAGAGATATTTCGCTTTGATTCCTGTAATTATCCCGACTAAAAATAGCAACCAGTATTCCAGGCTAACCCCAGGGTTTGTAATTAAAGCCTACTCTCCCTTGGCTCTTTATTGATTCCAGGTCGATTCAATAACATTGACCCATGGTTTATACTGTGGGTACCGAGGTAGGTATACCTCCTGTACCTTTCTCCACTGTCGCTACTTGGGGCCTCTGCCGAGCAGGTAGAGTAAACTACCTCATAAACAATCTGGCGCCCGACCCCCCCCCCCCCCCCCCGTCAGATACCAGAGTAGTCTCCGTCCTGAACAGAGCGCCAAAGTAAGGGCCGCAGAAACAAAGGCCGTTACATTATCTTGGTCACACTGTATATGTAATCGATGACAAAATATGTAGATTTTACTTGATTCTATAATTCAAAACATTTCAAAAATAATTTTAATAGGAAATTATGCCATATATGCAGATGACACAGTACTTGGTTCCCTAAGAAGATGTCAAAAACTTTTTCCAAATATAGCAAATACCGTTCTTACTCTCACATTCTTAGTAAAATGAAGTATCTCATAAATATTTTGGGTACTTGTTCCAAGAACAATTTTAACAAAATACCAGTACTATATGGAAAGAACATTAAAAGTACTGAATCGTCTTCCAAATGACACCCCATCAAATCAACTTTAAATACTCTCAAAATTTCTTTTGATATCATCAACAAACACCTCAAATCTAACTTCATATTGGTAAGGAATTCTCGAATCCATGAACATCATACTAGACAATATGACTTGTTTCATCTTGATGCTGTTATTTCTACACTTGGCCAAAAAAAGTTCACTCACGGAGCTATCTCAAAATTCAATAAATTACCTGATAATATCAAAAGTTGCACAAATATCACCCAATTCAAAATTAAAGTCAATACAAATATCTTCTTGCAAAGAAAAATCAAACCTGGGTGAATGATTTCTCATTCACTAATTTATTTCATCATGTCATAATGTAATTTTCATGAGCTTTTTGTTTTATTATTATCATTATTTTTGAATCTGTTGTCTATTTCAACTCAACTTAGATTTAATAAAGCATGAATAATCTCATACCAGATATGAACCTGTCCGATTATTCATGTTACTTCATTGTAAATGTTAATAAAATGTATTTATATTTATATGAGATGCAATATTGCAAAAAATGATATAAATTGTATTATTATTATTATAAGAATATTTTCTCACAATGCTGTCCTGGTAACTTACCGGTGGTGGTGCTCCTGGGTACGGTCTACCTCTCGGGTAGGGACCCATATTTCCGTGTCCGTAGTCGTCCCCGTAACCTCTACCATCCCAATAAGCTTCCTCGTTGTCAGGGTAATGACGACGGGCCCAAAACTCCTCTCTTAGCACCTGCCGAACGAAATATTTTATTGCTCGCATCAAAACTCGTCAATATTCCGAATATTTTTTCATGTACCAAGAACAAAGAAACACTGTCAATTATAGTCGAGTATGCAAATTGATAGGCGAGGCTAGCATTCAGGCGAGACAATTAATACAGTACAGACAATACAGTTTTTCGCCGAGGTGCATATTACATTTTTTTGTTTGAATTTGCAAAACCGAAATTGCTTTCATCTCCACGAAATTTCGGGTGAAGGAATTCAATTCGATATACGACAAGCCTAAAATCTTGTTGAACATCAAGGAGCTCAACAAAGGAACAACTGTCGATATGCTACATACAAATTAACGAATTCAAACTTACTATAAAAAAGAAAGAGATTTAAATCAAAAATATCACAGGCTCGCATGCCGCTGGTAACTATAGTAACTTGAAAGAATTAGGGTTGCATCATAGTGGAAGGAGAAGATGGTGTGCCTACGCGCATATTATGTGACGTCATCTGGGATACCAATATCAGCTGCTAGTCACAGACAGATACCATTGCCATGGGCGTGCGCAATGAATTCAATCATGTTTATTGGAATTTCTATAAATTTTTCGATCTGTTTAGAAATAATTCAATTTATATAAACAGGTACCTATTCCTTCGATTTTACTATTTCATTGATTCTGGAAATTGTGATCTTGAGGTAATTCGCAATCGCAAATAGCAAATACATACGATTTATCATGCATTGCCAATCCCATCTGAATGATCCACTGCTGTGTCGATTCTGACAGATTCAAATTCAGCAGTTAACGAAGTTGACGTTGCTTCTGCTCCGACATCGACAACAGGTGTATCAATTTTTGCCGTTTTGTTATTCAAATCTTTGCTGCAATTTATATTTTGTGAAAAATTTAGAGTTTTGAATTCATTTTCAATTATTTCTGACTTGATATGTGGAAGATGTTCTGTAGAAATGGCATCTAGTTTCAAATATTTGGAATGAGGATATAAGGAATATAAGGTAGGTACCATTATTTGAGTTTATATTCTGTCGGCAGCAAACTTCCTCCATCGTTTCATTGGGTCTCCATTCTTGGAAAAGCAGAAAAAGTCAATATCTGTGCCTTTTGTTTGTTAGTTGGAATTTCCATAACCAGAAACGAAACAAGTAGGCATTTCGAAATTATTTCATTCAATTTTAGTACTTATATAATATCTGAAGTTCGAGACATCAATCACGAAAACAAATAATAACAATGACAGTTATATCCCAGTTGACGACATGCGCAGAACAAGACGAGTTTGAGCTTTCTGTTGAGCACACCATCTTCTCCTTCCACTATGGGTTGCATAAACCTCTTTGTTAACCTAACAAGATAACAAGCCTCGTCACTCATCAGTGAGATGGTTATAATTTCGGCATAAATAATTCAACAATGGAAAATGTCAAACCGCGTTTCGATCCTCATGAGGTTCAGCCAACTTTTGGAAGAGCCCAAATCTTTGGAAGTACTCCCATAACCTGATGTGTTATTCGACCTGTGGAAGCCGAGTTCAGTCAGAGAGTACCAAAGTCCGTTGACGTCAGCCCACTTTGTTTATTGGCGTACTTATCTCGGCTTTCGGTAACCGGAGGGACTCGTTAAGATTTTCTGCGAGCAAATGCGCATGTGTCCAACATGTATCACTTGATTCTTTGTTACCCAAGAATTTGGATATGGGAATTCTTCAAAAGAATCAGCTCCTCATCAACTTTTGTGGCAACAAATGAAAAAACATGATTCGATGACATCTCGACACATAATCTGTCACGAATGTCACGTTTTAGTCTCATTTGTGATTTTGTTCAGATTTCGAATCGAGTTATTATAAATCGGTGTCAGTATAAGAATATTAGAGGTTCATCAACCAGGTAAATATATTGTGTTAGTTGAGTAAGTGTATTGTACTTTTATCACATATGTGGATTATATTAAAATCCGATTGTCTTCTATACCAAAAGTGATTGAATAAATTATTATCACAGGTAAATCTTGAATTAGGACTCAAGTAAGGCATGAATTGATCATTGAAAGTCAACAATACAACGCACCATTTCCATTTCCACCAAGTCAAATGTCATAATGCCTACAAATTTGGTTTGGAAGTTAGGAAATTTAGCAAGATTTTCACACGCGTCGCCCTTTTGACAAAGTAGGCGATATCGAGAGATTTCTAAACTCCTTCTAGTAGGAAGTAATAACACAATTTGAATTTCAATACATCTATCTCATCAGCTATGTGAAACATTGCGACACTGATTCTAGTTTCGTAATGAGACACTTCACCGTACCAGTGCGGTTAAGTAGAAGAAAATTATTGAAAATTTCAGTTAATTACTCGAAAGTATATATAAGAACTAATTGATTATAAATATTATTAATCTACAAACATCATATATTTGTTTCCTCAAATTGAAATCAACCAAGATCACAAATACGACGATCACGACAATTATACGCCCAACCCTTGCTTCTCACATATTCCTAATAATCATTAATCACAGGATTGTTAACTATTTCTGATTAAAAAATTTGCTCTTTTGGTAGTAGGTAAAATATTGCACTATATTCGTATCATAAATTCATTTTACATTTGTATCGATAATTTCTATTATGCAACAGGCTCTTGAACTCAAATATCGAATTCTACTAAATGTACAAGTTGTACATATTACCAGGCCCCGATCGGTCTAAACTAGTCACTAGATGATATCAGTTAGATAAGAGTTCGGACATAGAAATGACAACTGTTAGTATTTTTGAATGTTTAGATTCATCAAGTTACTCACCCTGCATTGTGACAAGAGTACTATAGTCGTTCCGCGCTTATTCATTCAAAATTGATCGAATTTGACAAAGAATAGTATGATGAACGTCAGTATTGAAATACAATTTCATAAATTATTGAGAAGGAAGTAAAAATAAAAATGTCCTGCTGTGTAACGAATTGTGGGATTCTGACGAAAATGGATTTCAATTATTTGATTTTCCAAAGGACATATTGACCATTCTCTTATGGAAGGAAAGTATGAAACCGCCTGGATGGAAAATTAATTTGAAGACAAGCAAAATTTGTGAGTTACATACATTGAAATTCACTTCTTATAACTGCAGAATAAAATGAAATTATATTTTAGGTCAATTTTCAAACAGAAGATTTCGGGATCCATTTGAGAGAATCTGCTGTTCCATTCATTTGCAAAACAGACTATTTGATAACAGAATCCATTATTATCATCACACGAAATGCAAAACGAAACTTTTATGAGAGTTGATTTCAAAAGTACATAAGGAAATTTAAAATTTGAGTGTTTAGTCTCATTTCATGGTTTTGTATAACTATTTATTTTCTTTAATAATTATTAGTGATATGAGTTGTGATTTGCATTAATTTACATTGAATTAAATAAGGTGAACGCTTGAGTGGGTAGCGACACTTTTGAATTGATTATTTCGCGCTTATTGAAAGGCAGAATTTAATAGTGGCTCTGGATGCTGCTGCCCTCTTTTCGGCTGACACCTGTACCAAAAACGTGAGGTGTATGTGCGCATCGCGCGAGCGAATTAATTAATGAGACGCTACGCGACACACAACGCAGAAATATAGAAAAACCTATAGGTACCGAATACCTTTGCCGGTAATAAGAAAAGGTGCTTCAATAGAACCTCTAAAAATGCGATGTGACAAAATTCGTGAAAACAAGAAGATCCTACCTGTGGAGCGACACCGAAGAAACTAAAGTTGGGTAAGTCACGTTATTTTCTGCCAATCAAACGACAATAAAAATATTACAGTCCACGCTCAATTCAACATTGAGAACGAAATTGAGGACATCAAGTCAATTGCAACGTGATATATCATTGAATGGCGATTTCATTACCGACCGAACTAGCCTCGGGACTAGCTATAAGTGTATCCATGTGTCTATTTTGTCATTAACATTTTGTTACATGCATTCTTTTCATTTTTATAACTGCTATTCTGGGAAAAGTGACGTATCCCTCCCTAAACATTGAAGTGGGTGTTTATACCCCATTTTCATTTTCCAACTGTGGTGATATTCAATAATCACCTAATATGTTATTAGTTTATGTCATTCTGACATTTTGACGTCTTATTATTTGTGATACTTTCACATAAGTTTTATGATGAATAAAGCCTTTATTCCCTAGAAAGGTTCATCACTACACCAAGTACGGCTATGACAGTAAATATAACCTCTAAAATCGTATCTGCAAATCAGGTGCTACTAAAGAAATTGAAAAGACAAAGAACAGAATATATGTCTTATTCTTTTATTCACTCAAACCATTGTAATATAGAAAATAGGAAAGGACAAAAGTTCAGCTGTGTCCGAACTCTTATCTACTAATACCATCCAGTGACTCTAGTCTGAACAAATTTTGAAACGCCATAACCTTTACCTCACAAAACATATTTTTGTATTTTTCCTGAAAAAAATAGCACTTGCCCATCAAATCGTTTCAATTTCGCGTTGAGAAAATTCAAGCGTTATCTGTAGGCATTTTGCAATATTTTCGACAGGAACGATAAACTATGAAGCAGCCAGCTTAGTCAAAACAAGTTCTTATCAATGGGTAAAGTTGTGCAAAATCGTGGCCAACTTTGTCCACCCACATTTGATATTTTTTCAATATTCATATTAAAACATGAACCTTTTTATTATGTCAAGATGTTCTTTACCTAAGAATTCATCTTCATAAATTGGGTGAAACAATCGAATAAGAAATCGCTGAAATATCAATCACAAACAGAAGAATGTGGACAAAGTATGGCACTTTTAGAATTATCAAACATATGTTTGATGTTGATGAAACAAAAAAAGCAAATAACTCGTTTGATTCCTCCAGAAAATTCTTGGTGTCAAAAAAGATCCAGATTATGAGTATTTCATGAAATTTTTAGCTGGGACATCATTTGAGAATCCCATTTATGAAAAAATGATCAATACTGGAGAAACCAATTCACATAAAATTTGAACAACATGGAATTTGGTACTTACAGCTCTGCGCATCTTTTCTTCTTGTATTTTTCTTTGCCTCAAAGAAGGCTTAACATCGACGACCAGTTCGGGATTGACTTTTTTCTTGTATTGCAAACGATGTCTTCTACCTTTCATGTGCATCTCTTTGGCATTCGGATCGTTGAATTTGCACTCGCACAATTTGCAGTTGAAACTGATCATCTTGAATGAAAAAAAAAACAATGATTTTATTCAAAGAAAAATACAGAAAAATCCAAAGTCGGTCGACCCCAAAAATTAAATTTTGGTTTCATAAGTAGTGTTACTAGTTTCAACACTCGGCCATCATCATACAAATATAGATAGATATATAGTATATTACCGTTTTGGCAATATTCCAATGATTTGTTCGTCATACAAAAAATAATTGCATTAACATGTGAATGTGATAAAAACATTTTCAAACAAATAAAATTAAAAGCCAGCCATATTGACATAAATTGGTATACACAGTTATAGTTATAAAATAAGGTAGCACAGTAATGTTTGTATATTCCTGTAACTTTTGAGTTACTTATTTTATATCTATCTAATTGACGTTTACAAATACTTTATTATGTTGTATTGTAACAATGTATTTCCAATATTTATGTACGAATTTGTACTCTTCTTTGTCAATAAGATTTCATCTTGGGAAATGAAGCTCATTTGATTTGAATCAACACTTCAAGAAATATTGAAATAATCTCATAAATTGCTCACCTAAAAATAAAAAATGAATGATGTTAACCTTAAATTATTACCCAAACTAATGTTTATGGTCCTTTGAACCGATATAGCATATTGCTGAGAATTGGAATACCTATAGGGCAATAGTTGAAAGCTAAAACTTTGATCATATTAACTTGGATTATATTAAATTGAAATTATTATCCATTGAATCGGCACTCGTGTCTCATCTGTGTCAATGGCAACTAACCTGTACAGAAACAGATTTCAAGAGATTCCGGTGTTTAATCTGCGGCTTGGTATTTTCGATATGCCGAAATGTAAAGGTGATGTCTACAACTGAATAAAATGACCTCAATATTGTTGGGATATATCACCCAGTACAGCATAAGTGAAATGCACCCACGTGCTCAATATATAAACCATGAACACAATTATTCATATAATATAGTATATATAGTACCTAAATAAAATGGCCAGGCATCAAGTACACATTTCGTGATATTTGATATGGTAGAAGCCGCTAGGGTTCAAATAGTTTAGTTGGGAATTTTATGATGAATCTGAAGCTCCTATACGGACATCGAAAATGCTTCCCGCAGGTTGAATTCAGAAAAGACCGAATTGAATCTTGGATAAAAAGTGGTTTTATTTCCCTTAGGAAACCAACACCGCATCTCTTCGGATTGAGAGTTGCATACGCCTGGAGCATATTATTATGAAGATATACAGCTGGAGATAAATAAGGATAAAGATATATGAGAAAGCAGCGAGGCACCCATTGGTCAACCTTTTGGCATGATTACTCCCAAGAACCATTTGACACCTACACCTATCCTATGTCAGGTTTCCGAGCATTCTGTGATTTTTGTGGCTATTTTATCAATGTCAATACTATGATTATGTTTATTATTTATTAGTAAATTTTTCAATGACAAAATTACCTGTTATTGTTATATTGTTAATAATTCAAATTAACCAATAATAACATTTTACGAATATTCAATCACGTTCTTGGAATGACACTAAATCTAGTACCAGAGTACTAGGACTGGCAACTTTATCTGGTACGTTGAGAGTAAAATTTTTACACTACCATACAACACAGTACTTATGGTTGTTATTCCTTTTTTTATTATTCGTATCATCCATGATGATATTTCTGTAAAAATGACAGGGTAACACGCATGAGTAAGAAAAGTGAAATAAAAAATAAATAAGCAGGTCGTCACGAAAAAATACAGAACAGACTGACGGCTAACGCGTTCGGCAAACGCGTTCGCCTGACGCGTCTCTTAGACTTCCGAATTTTCTTCAACAAGTTAAATTGCAACAGACAATTCTGATATTTTGAATATACTTAGGATTCAGTGCTCACTTACAGAATTGTAAGATCCTATGGAAAAAAGAAAACTTACCTTGCCATCATCGCCTTTGATCTCCTCGATATAGTCCTGCCCGACAGGCTGGATGTCCGGCTCTGGCACCTCATCCTCGTCCTCTTTGGCGGCCGCTTCGCCATTGTTGGCGGTCACGCCCAGCCCGCCCGAGGGCACGAAGTTGATTTTCGGGGCGGCGGCGATCGATTTCTTGGTGCCGCCGATCACTTCCGGCTCCTGCGTGGGGATCGGCTTGCCCAGCTTGGTGTGCAAAAGGACGACCTTTTGGTGTTTGGAGCCTCTGATGTGGGCGGCGTAAGCGTCGTTACCTGATTCGATGGACCTCTTTTCAATTTTTGCGTTGTATAATTTCATAACTATTGTTCAACCTTTACAATGGTTGGTGATGACATAAATAACGAAATTATTTGTTATACCATCGTTCTAAATAACTTGAAAGGCGACGTACAATATTATCTGTTCATTGAAAAAAAATCATGTTCAGTAAGTCAGTGATTTCCATTTCGAACTAAGTTATTTATTTGTTATCATATCCCTAGAAATTGTTCGTAGACCTGTCAAGATTCACCTTTCTGGCAAGTTTGTAAGTATGAATATTGTTCATAAGCTAACAAAAGAAGATAGCAACTGCTTATTCATCTTTTTGTTGATAACGTTGCCGTCTGTTGAAAAATCATACCAACATAGATTGTTTGTAAACTGAGAAACGAAAAACCATGAGTGATTATCAGAATCAAATCTATGTTCCACATTTGAATGATCCAGTGGAGGGAATCATGATAAACAAACAGGGTTAGATTATGAATGGATTTGATGTTTATTTTCGCATAATTACTCTCATGGCTATAATCATACTTTCTGAAATGTCTACTCTTCATTATTATGCCTTCTTGATGAAACAAACATGAAACATTTTTGACTACATGTTTGTACTTGTAAGTAAACACATCCACTACAGTGAAACAAGTTCAAAGCAATAATTGTGCTTTACAGTCGATCAATGATCATTTCACGTATTTGTATCTTTTCCTGTTTATCTCCTTCAGGTAAACTACTGAAGAATCGGAACCAGCTTCATCTATTCTATCTACTGTGGAATCATACAACTCAACCGCACAAAAAAAAAAGAAAAAAAAACAGCAAGTGATAGCAACATTATTGATTGATTTACCTGTGCATGTAACGTCGCATAGTTGACATCTAAGGGAGTTTCCAGCACGATTCTGAGTTGTCACCGCAACGGATGCAGACATTTTGGTAGCAGCCTCGCGTTTTTTGTGTTTTTGACCTTCCAAATGTTCTTTGTAGGTTTGTGGGCCAGCACAACTGAAAACGGCGATATTGTTTACGTGATTAACATTTCGTGTCATGAAAAATTGAACATTAAAATGTTGCCGCTTATATCATCAGTTTCTCAAAATTACTTAATTTTTTATCAATCCATTTTTCACACAGGAATCGTTCTATACAACTCATTACCAAGTCAATTGAGGAATATACAGGAAGCAACTAGATTCAAAATTAACTTGAAAAAATATCTGCTTCAGAGACTTTGATAATTCCATTTCTTATTTGAATACCTACTTATAAAAGACAAGGTTGATATTGCATGATTATTTGCTTTTTTTTACTTGTTATATCTTATTATAATTTCATAATTGTATGTATAACATTATGTATATTGTTTATGTATCCCTATTATAAACAACTATGTTTCTTGGGGTAATAAAGACAATCAATCAATCAATCAATGGTGGTCTTTTTGACTCTCTCAAAGGTAAAAAAGCTTGCTTGTCTTGTTATTAATATTGGGTGATTGATGTTTGTTATCTTTTCATCTTCTATAATATTACAGATGTTGGGATGAAGCAAGAAGAGAAACAAGAAGAAAGTCAATCCCTAAATTGGGTTATATTGGTATACTATGAGGAATTTCTTTACAATACGAGAAATAATATCTGTTCCTGAAATCTATTTTTAGAGACCCTACAGGATCTCGCTTCGCTTACATAGACTGCTAGTAATAAACCCAGAAACACTATGAAGGATAACATTAACGTCCTTTACTAAGGCAAGAGTTGTAACGGTGCATGCGCTTCAGAATTCGAACGACATCTTATGACACATGAATGATACCAATCAAAAATGTTTGTTTCGAAATTGAGTGCAGTTGGATGTTTAATGCAATTTTTCTCAAATCTTGATTTCAACGCCAGAACCAACTAGACTGAGAATTGGGCATTGTAGTTTACCAGATCACCTATGTAGAATCAGAATGAAGGAAAACAATCTTTGTGAATGTGGGAAAATAGGAAATATTAACCACTTTTTTTTCGAATGCGATAATAATAAACAAAAAATTGATAATCTATATTCAAAGCTAATAAAATCAGGGCTCAAACCTCTATTCTCATATCAAATGATTCTAAGAGACTTAACTCATGACAAAATAAAAATGTTGAGTAAATTTATTGAAGAAAGTCTGATTACTATCTGAATACTGTATGGGAATTACTTCTGAATACTGTATGGAAATTACTTAAACAATTTGATCTACTCTATATTACTTCTATTATATTTGTCGAATTGTGATGTTTTATGGGATCCTTGAATGTTATAAAACTCATCCATACTTTAACAAAAGGAATTAACATGTTAATCACCTTCCTAATCCTTAATATAAAGTAAGTATATCCTATACCCGATCTGGTGGAATTGGCACCGCAAGGAGTCAGAAAACCAATAAAATCAACAGAAGAAGATTAACATGGTCTTGCAAAAACATTTTAATACCTCAGCAGCACGGTTTTTGTTCGGGGAGATCCACGGTAACTAATCTGCTAACCTACCAGTTTCCTGTTGGATGCCTTGGAGAGGGGCGAACAAGTTGACGCAATTTACACGGACTTCTCCAAGGCATTTGATAGAGTTGACCACAAAATTTTATTAGAGAAACTTCGTTCTTTTGGTTTTGCGGATAATATCGTGAAATGGCTACGTAGTTTCCTCAGTGGCTGCTCTCAAGGAGTTAAAATCAATAACTATATATCTAACGATATTCTGGTCACGTCAGGTGTCTCTCAGGGCTCCCACTGTGCTATTCAATCTTTTTATAAATGAAATTTCCGATGTAATCAAAAGTGCAAGCTACTTAGGTTTTGCTGATGACTTAAAAATGTTTCGCATCAATAGAGATGTCCTACAGTCAAATTTTTCAAAATGACCTTGACAACCCTTATCTGTGGTGCGTCCGTAACAATCTCGACCTAAATACCGATAAATGTCTCACAATATCGTTTTCCCGTTCTCATACTGTTGCCCTATATAATAACAATATTGACAATATATTCTTGAAAAAAGTAACCGAGATTAAAGATCTTGGAATCATTTTGATGAACGTCTCACCTTCAAGAGCCATATACTGAAAGTAACAGCATCCGCCAATAGAATGGTAGGTTTTCTATCGCGTAATGCAAAAAAAATTTCATGCAACACATCATATATTTTGTACTGCTCCCTTGTACATTCCTTATTGGACTATGGTTGTATGATTTGGTCACCCAACTATGCATGTGATATCACAACTAATTGAACAAGCCCAAGTTAGATTCGCCAAACACATATCCTACAAATTGGGAACTTACTATCATTTCCACTATTAGGATAATCTTGATACCCTCAACCTAACTAATTTATCTGTCCGTCGATTCAGGCTAGGTAGTTATACTATGTTTAAGATTATCTCAGGTGAAATTGATTGCTATGAACTTCTCAATAAGATTAACTTCAATGTTCCCTCATATTTTACTAGAAACACAGAATTATTTGTTATAAATAATCATAGAACCAACTATGGGTTCTCTAGCCCTTTTCCCGCATTTTGCGAAATTTCAATGCATTTAACATTGACCCATTCGTTCAGTCTTTAGCCATATTCAAAAATAGAATATGTAAAATTGATCCTGGGTTAATCAGTCACCATTAATTAAGTTGATACTTTTTTCTTTTCTTTTTTTTCATTCTCTTTGGGCAGAATAAAATTATTCAACCTAATGGCTGTAAATAGGAAATAGTTTCAACGACAAGATGTAATGTTTAAAAAAAAGTTAAATTTATTTTATTGTGAATTTTATCTGTTGATCATGTGATGTTATTGTCCTCATGCCATCTTTATTATATATAATTAATTTATTTCTATTGTAAAGGTGAATCCGTTTATTATTAAAGAAAAAAAGAAGATTTAACTCCCCTAACCTAACGGCTCACCTTATCTTGCACACGTCGCAATAGTGCAGCTGCTGCGGCTTGGGCGGCTGCTTCGAGCGCACGTTCTTCGCCCCGAAGCCGCTCTTCTTGAACTGCCACCCGGCACCTTGGGCGGCCTTCTGCTGCGCCCCGCCCGCCGCCGCTGCCGCTACCGCCGCCGCAGCCGCCGACTGCTGCGCCACATACATGCTAGCTGCGGAATAGAGGGCAGCGTCATAGCCTGAACATGTCGGTGCCGAATTAGCTTCTAGGGAGCCGAAACGATGACGTGATAAATGGGGGGAAATGTGAGAAATGAGGGGGGGGGGGATGTGAGCAATGAGGTGGAGATGTCAGTGACGGAAATGGTTTTTTTTTTCGATTCATTTACGCACCAAGAGAATGAGACATCCTATAACTAAGGTAATTACAATCACAAAAAAGTTGGACATTAAGATGAAACATATACGTATAAAAACAAACAAAAAAAATACCATACAAAATATACATATTTATTGAATAGTTTATCGACTGTATTATATTATGATATAATAGGAAATATCGGGGAGTTCAGTAAATCGGGCTACTACTTTATTGCTATGCCAAGCTTTCGAAAATTTTCATTTTCTTCTTCAAGGCTGGAACAATATATGGTATATGAAACATTTTGTTACTATTCAATTCAACAAAAACAAGACCTTACTTGCAATGTGAGTAAAAAGGTATAAATTGGAATAATAATCAGTATAAAAAATATAGATGATGCATAAAAACACATTTAATTTGTGGTGTTCCTCAAGGAACTGTTCTAGGTCCTATTCTTTTCATTATTTATATCAATGACTTACTAAAAACAAATATTGAAGGATATATTTTCTCATATGCTGATGATACAATGATAATTGTCAATGGAAACACTTGGTCAGAATCAATCATGAATGCTGAAAAAGCTATAGCAATAGTTAAAAATAATCTAGATTTTGACTTATTAACTTTAAATTTGAATGAAACAAAATTCATGACTTTCTCCTGTTATGAAGACTCACAACCAAACAATATAACAGAGTTGACAATTCATGATATAAACTGTTTCAAAAATATATCCAAAGAATCAAAAATGAATTGTTCATGTACCCACAAAATAAATAAAGTTGCTTTTATTAAATATCTTGGAATTTATATTGATCAACATTTAAAGTGGAATCATCACGTTTCAGAACTTACTAAGAAGCTCAGAAGTACTCTTCCAAAATTCAGATTTTTACGAAATATTGTTAATAGAAATTTAATCATAATGTTATATCATGTACTTTTTCAATCTATTCTGTCATATGGAATCATTGGATGGGGTGGTATGTATGAGACTCATCTCAAACCATTATTAAGTATTCAAAAATATGTTTTGAAAATAATGTTTCGCAAACCTTTGGATTATCCATCATCCTCATTATTTGTAGATAATCATATACTGAATGTCAAACAATTATTTTATAAAGCATCATTGAATTTCTTGAAAAAAAACACTGCATTTAGTAATAAAATTAGTCACAATTATTGTACAAGAAATGATAATGTTCAACTTGAAAAACATAATCTCAAAATCATGCAAAACCATAGTAGTTTTATTGGGTCAAAAATTTTTAACAGAGTTCCATCAAAATTGAGACGTTTGAATATTGTAACATTCAAAAAAAAAATTAAAATTTGGTTTTTGGATAATGCAAAAGAAATTGATAATCTCTTCAAATAATTTTTTTTTTTTTTTTTTTTTTTTTTTTTTTTTTTTTTTTTTTTTTTTTTTTTTTGTTTGTGTGCTTTGTATATATTGAATTTATAATCAATATTTAATCTAAATATTTTTAAGAACTTGAAAATTTTTTAAAAAAAGTTTATAATAATTATCTAATTCACACACAGGTCAATAACCTATGTGAAGTAGATAAAATTTAGAATTTTTATAATATAAGAATATGTATGTCTTTGTAAATGTATTCATATGAGAATAAATAAATAAATAAATAAATAAATAAATACATGAAATTGATAGGACAGTGACAAAAGTCATATACCTAATTCATATACAGGAAGAAATGAAATTATCCTTACGAACGTTAGCTCTTTCTAGCTAGGGTGAGTCAGAATAAAACCGATAAAACCAATCATTTTCTTCGTATACTGATATCAAAGATACAGGGTGTCAAAAGTACGAAAAAAAAGGTTTATAGCAATATCCTCAGAACCCTTGTAGGAACGTACGAAAAAAAAAAAGGTTTATAGCAATATCCTCAGAACCCTTGTAGGAACAGAAGATCTGAAACTCCGTATACTATTCCATATTCATCAATGTCATCGTCGCCACATGTTTTGAAAGTGATAACATTCTAAATGCCTAAATATACAGGCTGTCCCATTTTCGATGTCCATACGGGATATCTCACTTATTTTCAGAGAGAGATTTTCGGTTTTCTCGAACGTTGGCTACTTTTTTGTGAAGACACGATACCGCAAACAAAATTTTTATAGCTCACTTCGTTTTTGGGATACAAGGCGAAATAAAAAATGTTGCATCGTGGGATCCCAACTGTATCTCAGGTATCTTTCATTAATAGGAAAAGTAAGTAAAAACTGTCACTTATACAGTTTTTCACGTGGAATCCAGTGGCGTAGTCAGATTTTCGAAATAAGCTGTTATTATCTAGAAATCACCCAAAGTTATGTTTTTTTAAATGGAACACCCTGTACATTTTTTCATATTCGAAACATTGATGCTTTGCGCTTCCGAAAAATACAGGGTGTTTCCTAACTACGGTTCCTAACTGCAGGTGGTGATTCGTTAGGTCATTTTAGGAAGAAAAGTTCTTCTTAACATATGTACGGAGTTGCTTCGTTTCTGAGATACAGGGCGTTGAAATTAAAGAAAAAAAACGGTAATTATGAAATATCATGAATATCCTAGAACCGAATTGGTTGAAATTTGGTACTTTCATTTGAACTAATAAGGCGCTTATTCAGACCTATTTAGATTGAAATTATTGGCGCCAGTTGCGTCTCAATGGGCACCACAGCCATCAATATTGTGAAAAAAAAGTACGCCACTGTCTTTTTTTGGTGAATTTTCATTTTGTTTAGATTGAGCAACTCAAAATACAACCTTTTGGTCTCGTGCATTTCCTTCATATCCAGCTTCGTTTTCGAGAAAAAAAATCAAAGCCATAGTATTGCATATCATGAACACCGATTGGAGAAAGAGTTTTTCATTATCTCCGCCAAAAATTCAATTGACACTTGATATGATGAAATTTTAGAAAATTTGATAAATAAAAGTACCAAATTTCAACCAAATCGGTTCCAGGATATTCATGATATTTTATAATAATTATCGTTTGTTTTCTTTAATTTCAACGCCCTGTATCTCAGAAACGAAGCAACTCCGGACATATGTTCATAGAAACTTTTCTTCTTAAAATGACCTAACAAATCACCCCCTGCAGTAAGGAACCGTAGTTAGGAAACACCCTGTATATGACACTTATTCGATATTTTGAGTATTAGCCTTGAATTTAGATAATTTACAATTTATTAGTATATTTCATATTGATCCGCCTTATAAAATTGCGACAATATTTTTAATTAATTTTTATATTAACCTCGTTGCTGGAGTGATTCGTCACACACTAGTTTGAATTTTACCAACATTCATTATTTACCAATATGCTACACTACTTATTGACTATGAAAGCTGTGGACCTAATTAGTAGGTGGTAGGAGTGCGGAATGTTTTATAATTGTTGTCACTAGACAACCTGTTACGGTTTACAAATTTTCCATACATTCGCGAATAATCCAGGATATCAAAATTACGAAAGATTACCTATGCCTATATTATGGTTGGGATATAAGTTGGTTTCTAAATTTTCGTAAATTTTTCCATCTTGGATTATGATGCGCCATTGAATGGAAGAAATTCAAACAGGTGACGTGAATGATTATAAAACATTGTGCACTCGCATTATTTTCATAGCTACCTACTAATTAGATCTACAGCTTTTATAATCAATGAATAGTGCTGATTATTAGTGAATGATGAATGTTGTAAAATAAGAACTAGTATGTGACGTAACACCCTGCCAGCAACAGAGTTAATATCAGAGTTAATATGAAAATTCATGATATTAACAATATTACTTCACATTCACGAGGCGGATCAATAGTAAACAAACATAGTAAACAATTCTAAATTACCTAAATTCAAGGCTGATGTTCAGAATATCGTATAAGTGTTATATATTTTTGGGAATCCCGAATCCTCAATAATTCAAATATGAAAAAATATATACACGGTGTTCCATTAAAAAAAACTTGACTTCGGGTTATATTTAAATAATACAGCTTTTTTTGAAAATCTGACGAGACCACTGGATTCCACGAGAAAAACTGTATAAGTGAAAGTTATTTTTCCCTATAAGTTGAAAGCAGTTTGTGTCAATTGGGAAATTTTCAAGTACAGAAAGAAAAATCAAATGTGGCGTGCGACAAGGGTGGGTCTATTTTAGGACCAACCTTATTTCTTGTTTATGTCAAATCAATATCAAAACTAAATCTGAAAGGTGAAACAAGATTATATGCAGATGATACCATGATATTATACTTTAGCAACTCTTATGATGAACTGAAATCTAATATTGTGGAAGAAATGCAAAAAATATCTACTCACAAGTCAATACTAAATGTGAATAAATAATAATAATAATAATGATAGAAATCTTTATTGAAGTTTTATGGTAGAGATATATAGATATAAATAAATAATAACATAGAAACAAACAACTTCAAATGGCTAGAATATTGGCAAAGCCATTTTTCACTTCACTGGAATAATTTAGACATTTTCATATTCAAACATATTAGAACAAAAAAAAATTAAGACATATAATATGTACATAAATGTTCACAAAACATTCAAAAGAAAAAAGAAAAAGTCCAATACCTTGATAATACCACAGAAACTGTGATAATACCTGTGATAATACTAAGTTATCAAATAAGCTGTAGATGCTGTTCTGATATTAAACGTTATATATAAGCAATTTTAAATTTGTTGTACGAAGTAAGACAGAATAAATGTTTGTAATTGTTCAAAACAGTCGGTGCAACATATTCAAAACAGCTCTCAAACTTCAACTTAAAATGCCTAGCTATTGAGTAATCATCTATATTGCGTCAATTTACAGAATGTTCAGTGGATCTCCTATGGATTAAATCATGTAG